TTCACGTGGAAATATCGAAGAATAGCCTTTCATAGACACAATACATGCACGGGAATGGCGATGGCGCGCGTTCTATAAAATTCAAAAATGGAACTGTAGAAGAAAGCACGACGTATATTCTGCCAAGTTTTGTGCAACACAATGGCGCCGCCGGTATACAAATTTATTCCAGTTTATTTATTATTACACGGGTTTTGTACATTATTCCGCATTCTTTGGCACAAGCTATATCTTTTGTGTCTTACCCTTATTAACATGTTGCAACCACGAATGAAAAAATTGAAGAATTCAAAATATGAGAAATTTTGGAGATGTGCGCTTCGTACGAATTTTGTTTATTTCCAGTAACAATGTTACCTTTTATTATATTTATTCTAAATACAGTACGATTTTTTTTACATTTGAAACAATTTTCGTTTCTTTTTAACATTTCTTAAATTTAAGTGGAATAATAATAGAAAATGTTTAAATTGATAAATTAAATATACGACTATAATTTATGATCTTGATACAGTTCATTAGACTCACATAATTTCCATTTTAGTTTACCATATCGTATCTACATAAAAAAAATGGGTACGTGTAAACCTTTACGCGTGGTTGAAGTAAAACTTCTTTGGCAAATATCGTAATTACATTAAAACAAATCAATAATTAAATAGGCATATTAGGCTTATTACAATCATATACATATTTGTAGAATATCATATACGTTAAGAATATATGATTTATATTTGTCAGACAATAACAACGGTTACCCTGGCAACATTGAAATGTATTTTATCTCATTCTCTCGCCGACTTAATCCTATATATTTATGTGTTTATCTCTTTTTAGTGTTACATTTTCGTTTCATCGAGTTTCAAATCACGATTCTTAAAAAGTTTCACTTCAAAAATTAAAATGTTAGTAGGAATGATTGTCCCATATTCCAAAACTTTCTAGATCTTTAAAATCTTCAATAACATTACTATTTTGTTTATAATTTTTAGGGCTACTTCTGAAAAAAAAAACAAAATAACTACCAACATTTCAATATACTACCAAATCGTAATTTTCGGAAGTGATGTTTTATGTAAAGAAAAAGTCATCAAAACAGAGATAAAATTGTTAAATGGGCAAGTTGTAGTAGTCTTAAATAAAGGAAATAAATGAAACAGCATTTATTGAATACACATATATTTTATTTGTGACTAAAAATTACAAAATAAATAGTGGATTACATCACATAGGGGGTACTTAGTACAGGACAGACATACAGTATAATGACAGTTGATGGAAAACAAAAACTTAGGCCGTGTCATAAAATGGCTAAGGTGTAACCATTATGCCTCACAACACTAAATACTATATTTAAGACCAAGAACGTCATTTTAAATATTAAAATTAATGTTTTAATACTATTATTCGAAAAAAAATATAAATGCAACTTAATATATCACGGAAATATGCAACAGCCATTAATAGTTTAAAATAACATTTTTAATTATATTTACCTGAGTATTCTTATTTAAAACTAGCATTGCCCGCGGCTCCGCCCGCGTTCAGATGACCAAAAACTAAATTCTTAGGTGTTACATATTAGTATACTCTTACATTGCAGTTTTTGTATTTTTCCTCAGAAATAAGATATTTTCCCGCGGTAAAAAGTATCCTAGGATCGCGCGCTACATCGCCCGGTTTATATAGCTTGAGCAGGCGGTCGAGCGATGCGGGGCAGAGGGGATGGACTCGCCGTAGGCATCTCAATGCTCGCCAAGCATTAAAAATGTTTCGCTACTAATTACTTCTAACAACGATATCTCAAAAACTATTCATCTGATTGATTTAGTGTAAAGAGCAATTTTAATCTGCATTAAATGACTAAGCTAACTAAAATATTAATTTGGATAAGGATTAATACCGAACTAAAGAAAATAACTTTGAAAATAACGTAATGTTTTTAATTAAAAATGTTAACATAAAAGTGGTTATTGTAAGTCAACCGTAAGAGATAGAGATATGCTATCGCGGACTTTTTTGTAGCATTTTTATAGATTTTGAATTCTCTAGTACATTACTTAACTGTATCTTTGCTAGTTTACGCGGCGTTCGCGTGGAAAGTTCCCATTTGGCGAGATTTTTTGCGACCTCTTCAACATTTGTCGCCGTATTTCAGCTAATTTACATAAAAGCATAATAAATTATATACCTAAACCTTCCTCAAGAATTACTCTTTCTATTGTTGAAAACCGTATAAAAATCCGTTCAGTAGTTTTCGAGTTTATCGCGTACAGACAGACAGGAGGACAGACAGGAGGACAGAAAGACGCGGCCGGGGGACTTATTTTTATAATAAGTATAGATTAAATGTAAGGAAATAACACACTGGATATTTAGATAAGTATTACATAACTACGATTAAATTGATTATTTTTATAAGATTGTCAGTGCAAAAGTAACCTTATACTGCAAAATAACATTTTTAAATATACATATAAAGTGATAAAATTAAGAATATATATCAAAGAATTAAAAGTTCATCTTATGTTTGATACTAAATTAAAAAAATACATATCATGTATTAAAATTAACACATTTTAAAAGTTTTTGTTAGGCCACTTTACAATTAAATTCTCTATATTATAATTAGGCCCTTTTGCTCTGACAACCTGATATCCACGTTATAAATAAAGAAATCACAATATCACTATTTATATAGGGTTGTCCACTAGAAGATTACGATCGTGCCCTAGCTATCGAACATTATAATTAATTATCGATATCGATGTTTTTATCAATATTGTAATTATGACACATTAGATATTTTCGAAATACTACAATATGTGTAGATACGCGAATGTATGACCGTAATCTTCCAGTCGTACCGTATAATGGACTAAAGATATTAGGACTCGGTCCTAGAAATTCCTACGATATACATATTTAATGTAATTGAATAAATGTGCGTCACGACATGGAATATATTATCTAAAACACGAAACATTTATTTTTAATAAGCCAATGGATATTGCAAATTTTTAGTTATATTCTGACCAGTTCATTTCAAATCAGATAGAGACAGAAAGGTAGGTGAAAAAGAGAGAGAGGGAAAGAAGACCGAGAAGGTAAAAAGACAAAGGCAAAAAAACAGACAGAGTAAGAAGAGAAATTGAAAGGAGAACGAGAGAAAGAATGGAAAGCAAGAGTGAAATTCTGTTCATATATAGAATAAACAATTTGCAATATACTTTAGCTTTACAAGGAACTAAATAACCTTTTTAGGTACTTATTTTAAAAATGCATATGATGGCACGATGCTAGTATAGAGATCGTTCTTATTTATATTGTTTTTGGAAACTGCACCATAATATAAGAAAAATATTAAAATAAATATAACTTACAGCCTGTTTTATACTGTCTTTAGCAAAAAAATATGTTTATCTATGAGTATTTATTTTTAAACGCATTGTAAACTATAAAAGATATATAAGCGTAAATAATGAAAGTGCTTATACAAATAGGGACTAAATATTGTGTGGACTATTATTTCAAACAATTGTTTTTTACTCTCTTTGTTTATGAATATATAATAATAAATTCTAAACATTACCTTCATAATACATATATCAGAGTTACCTATTAGATGTTGAATTGTAGGAATCTTAATATCAATTCCAATACATATAATTGATTATAATAAATTGAAAGGTTATTTATCAAGGTTATATCATTATTTTAGAATATAATTCTACAAATCCGGATGAGGAAGAACTGCACCCGGTATTATAAGAATAGGTTAATAACATTCATAGTGTCACTATAATAATTCACTACAAAGACACTATTCTAGAATATGGTCTTTTAATAAATCGGCATTTTACTGTCTTAAAACTCACCTGTATGTGAATATTGACATTTATACCATATAGTTATGCTTAACGTCATTAATTTAGACTAAAAAATCTTATAGCCCGTTACTTTGGCCCATCAAAAAACAATTTAAATTTTGTTATGATTCTAATTGTATTTTTGCATCAAATAATTAAGGTGTTGACATCGCCACTCAATAGACATATTATGTGTGTACTTTTCATGGGGTATCAAAGTGAGACTTCCTCATACATTTTGTATGGCAACAGTTATCTATGATGTCATTTATTTACCAACTTAATTGACTATATGTCGATATTTAATTGAAAATTAATCAATTTTTCAGCGCTGTTTTAGAACTATTACTTAACGATGTCAACTGTCGAATTAAGAGTTTAATGTTATTTCATAGATAATCCTATACATAGAAGATACTTAACAAACCCTATGGCTTGAATGTATAAACTGAAAAAATAAGATATTACGAAACCTATAAACAAAGGATATTTTCTGACATGCCCAAACCAGTGTACTAATCCATACAGTCGTCTAACCATAACTTCTAGACGGGACAATCGTGGGTGCTACAAGGATCATTTGACATGTGGCCGAAATCAGAACTAACACCGCCATCTTGTAAAACATCACTTTTGAGAGATGGAGTTGATGTTCATTGTAAATATTTAGTGCTTTTATTTCAATAGAAATATCTCAAAATATAAAGTGGTTAGAGAGGTTAGGAGGTTTTTTTTTTATAAAGGAAACACCGTAATTTCACACCCAAGATCTCATGTCATCATCACCTAAGTGTCAAATGATTCTTGTTGCATTTGCTTATATATGTCGGTCGGAAGACGGCTTTAGGGTTAACACAAACTTTAACTTTGAAACCGTACCATATAAACAGGGCTGCCAGATCGTATAATTGTATACAAAAACTGTAAAATATGGTTATTTTATGTATATTTCACTATAAGTTATTATTACGTATTTTTATTCAAAGTTTTTATTCATCACAGACTATTTATCAATTTGTATAATAAAATTGGATTTGGTTTAATTTGAGTGAGCCAGCGGTATAAAATAAGTTGGCTCTACTGGCAGCCCTGCATATAAATGGCACTAACAATCCTCGGGCGCTCGTCCTAGCGGCGGCGCGCGGCCTCGTGGCGCAGCAGCTCGGGCAGGTTGGCGATGCGTATCTCCTGCACGTGGCGGCCCGCGAACTGCACGTACTCGCCCGCCTCCGCCGCGCCCGCGTCCGCCGCGCGCTTCTGCACTGTTGGGGTTCGTTAATTATTATACTAATAAAAACTTAAAAAAAACCACTGAAAAATAAAAAATAACTAAACGGGGGTTTCATTTAGAATAGATATCTAACCCGATATTTTCAAAATTAGCGTGCTTTAATTTGTATCGGCTGACACCGACTTCGAATATACTATATATTCGATTAGGTACCTAGTCTAAATGATTCGGTGGTTAAACCATTTATTTAAAAAAAATGTTGTTAATTTTTTTTTAAATCATTTGACCGATTTCGATATAATTTAAATGGGACCACCTGGGAAATATACCCTATGACACAAAAAAAAGAATTTTCCAAATACATTCAGGCGTCTTCAAGTAATCAATGAACATACATAAAAAAAAGATTCCAATGAATTGAGAACTTTCTCCTTTTAGAAAAAGTCTGTTGAAAATACACATTTTTCTCAATAGATGTTTCAATTCGCTCATTTGAATGGTTAACTTTCACTTTAAAATACATCTTCATAGCAATTTTCAGGATCTATATTATTAAAAAAGTTTGATTTAGAATAATCACAGATTATCGTTCGTGTTTCGCATGTTTTGAACATTGAATTGTCGACACTCACTTGTACCTCCATCGTCCCTATAAAACTGATGCATGGGACACGAGCCAAATCGCCTGCCGTATAGGGCGTCAACAGGATGGAAAGGATAGTGGTCTCCACTAACTATAATCCCAGGACACCGCTCTGTTAGCAAGGGCAAGTGAGAAGAGACTTACCTATAATCCCATCATCACTATACAGCCGGTAGATGGGCCGCGAGAAGCACCTGGCGGCCAGCTCGCCGGCCGCCGGGGGCGGCGCGCCGAGGGCGGGCGGCGCGCCGAGGGCGGGCGGCGCGCCGAGGGCGGGCAGGGCGGCGCGCAGGTGGCTGCGCACGCGCGACACGTCGAAGGCGCGGCCGCGCTGCAGGCCCGACAGGAAGGCGTCGGGCGACAGCACCACGTCCGGCTCCAGCTCCATCACGAAGCAACGCTCGTCGTCGATTATGCCTGCGGTAGAGTTGCCAGTTTTCTTTATTTGTTTTTGGAACGAAGTTTCTTTACGCGGCTCACTATAGAAGTTGACAGGTCTTTGTCGTGGCGCGAAGCCAAGAAACGCACGAGGAGGGGGCCTACTTCTAGTTTCTAGTGGGTAATACTGGGTTTTCTAGCTGGTGAGTCTCTCAAACCACCTCTAGGCCTACAGGTGGTATGCGTAAATGCATTTCTCAACATAAGTGTTGACAGGTAGAAATTGTCACGTCACGAAAAAGCTTATTATTTATTAAGAGCAACCCAAATGACGTCATGAAAAGTACCAGGCGAGCATAAGTGACAAAGAACTCGTATGCACTCTTTGACGGAGCCCTACATATATAATGAACAGTCCTTGAGTTTTGTGGTCCCCTAATACTGGTGATAAAAAGAACCAGACAATCATGAGTGTTGAGGAGTGCATGTTGTAAGAAATTCGTGTGTACTCTGTGCAGGCCTTTCTCTAATGAGCTTCAATATGTACAATGTACGTTGCTCGATGTCTATGCTACCCTGGTACTCGGAAAAATATGTAAAACAAAACTTAAAGAATATATCCTCAACATTTGCCCAATGTTGAACTCTAAATGTAATAGGAAAACGACAAAAACAACCAACCAACATATTAACAAAATAAATGACATTGAACAGCTCACCAGTAGTATTGTCGCTGAAGTCATGTATAAAGTCGACTCGGTGGCCATTATTCACGACGGATATCTTCTCGACCGTGTCCCCGATGTTCAGCTCCTCGCGCAGAATGTTCACCAGCTCGTCGCTGGAGACCTCGTCGGCGGAGCTGATGATGTGCACGTTGTGAGACCATTGGAGAGGGAGCACGCGGAAGTCGGGCTCAAGCATATTGTTATTTTCCAACTGAAACATTATGTTTAAACCGTATAAAGCGTTTGTTTATAGCAAATTCTTAAAGGCAGTAATGATTGTAGTAAAAAGTTATTATTTCGTCTTGTATGTTTGTATGTATAACTTGCGTCATCTAAAAAGAACGCTGGAAGAAAGTGGAGAGGGTATGTTTGCGCATGGGTGTACTCGCGCACAAAAGTACTAAGCCTTTTATTTTATTTTTCATAGCATTTCGCTCGCGGCTTCATATATTAGTTATTAGGTAGGGACATTGAAAAATATATTAGATAGAATATCATTAAATAGAATTCTATTCATTATTAAAATATGTTTGATTCAGTGCAGAATGTTTAATCTACTTACAAAAAATTAAATTAATACGTTTAATACATTTTTTTTATTATTAACTGCATTATTATTAGACTCTCTCTTTGTAAAACAATATACGTCAAAAACAATTTTTCTCTTTTCTATATATAAAACCATTTCATAATTAAAAACTTTTGTGTGCGCGATGGTATTTCGAACTGACGAACCAATAGCGCGCCGGCAAGCATGCGGCGCGTGCCCCGCTGCCCCGAACCGCCCCGCGCCCCGTTTCTTACCACCAAATGGACCGATAAATCGCTTATGCGCAGCTTGACAGCCACCGTTCTTTTTAGATGACGCGAGTTATATGTTTAATATGAGTATTTTCACTCGGAGACTATAGGAGCCTATAGTCTCGGAGTGTCATATATATTACTGAGGGTCGAAAAAGAAATCAACTACCTACGTGGAGTAGTTTTTGAGATATGGGATATTTTCGGTACGGCGCGAAATTAATTTTGTGTCATCGTTTATTCTTTTAGGTATCTATAAATAGTTGAAGACTTTGCTGGCCAGCAATGAGCTACTGCAGGTTTATTCCTGCACAGATATGAGGCATATCTTTCATTAGACAATAGTTTGAAAGCTTTTGTCATAAATATTAAGAAATTTTAACTTCCATATGGAAAATTTTAGTAACTGTTTTGTCCTCATGAATACAATATTCTATATATAAAATACAAAACAAACAAGACCCACTAAATTGATAAGAAATTATTTTCATACTGCATTAGTTGTTGACAGGAAAATTCAATAAAATACTAATATAATAATAATTATGTATGCATAGGCACAGCAATATAGGCTCATTAAAATTTTAAAAGCTGTATATTAACTAACATAAAAGGAAACATCCAAACCTCATTTTTTCTGAAGTTGTTTGAATTGATACCTCAAATTGAACAATATAAATATATACCTTTAAGATTTATTTTCAAATACAAAGAGACGTAATAGGAAATATGCATATGATTTAAATAACGGTTAAATATTTTATTTATAATCTTTGTTGCTTTTGAATTAAGCTTGTATCAATATTTTACCTTTTATTTTACCTTCTGGCCTTACCATCAGATCAGGTCAACAATACCGAACCACTGTACTATCAAAGGAAATAGAAACACTTGCAAAGTTTCAAGTCAATATAACAATTAGAAGTAGGTTAAATTCATCATTAGCTATTTTTCCACCCTTAGGGGTGGTATTTTTTTTTGAAATTTAAATGGGACCAATCTGGAAGAATACACTTTCAAACAACACAAAAATTGTTCAAATCGGTACAACACAACAACACACACAACAAGTACACACAACAAACATAAAAAAACAACATACAGTCAAATTGAGAACCTCCTCCTTTTTGAAGTCGGTTGAAAATTACCTTCCATATGGAAAATTTTAGTAACTGTTTTGTCCTCATGAATACAATATTCTATATATAAATTACAAAACAAACAAGACCCACTAAATTGATAAGAAATTATTTTCATACCGCATTAGTTGTTGACAGGAAAATTCAACAAAATACTAATATAATAATAATTATGTATGCATAGGCACAACATTATATACAGGCTCATTAAAATTTTAAAAACTGTAAATTAACTTTCTAAATCTAATATGTTTCTTAAATAAATATTTTTTTAAACTATAAATGCTACACAAAGTCCAAAATCACTTAGAGTATTTATTTCAATATTATTATTATTTTTTATTATATTGAATGACCTATTAATTGAAAAAAGAATTCTAAACCTTTTCACAATTGGCAAACATATAAGGAAACATCCAAACCTCATTTTTTCTAAAGTTGTTTGAATTGATACCTCAAATTGAACAATATAAATATATACCTTTAAGATTTATTTTCAAATACAAAGAGATGTAATAGGAAATATGCATATGATTTAAATAAAGGTTAAATATTTTATTTATAATCTTTGTTGCTTTTGAATTAAGCTTGTATCAATATTTTTCAATGCAATGTTTTTGATTAAGAAAAAAATTATTAAAAGTGCAAATATAGGTGGGAATTTCAAAATAGTTGAAACGCACGCCATTGGTCGGGCCGAATATGACGTCAAAGTATTATCATAACAGAGCTATTAACGATTTTGTTGCTACAAAGTTGTCATTTTTTTCTATGTATCATACTGTGACGTCACGCCAAGCGCGCGAAATGGCGGGCGCTTAAGTATATTATAAGTATCTATATGATATTTAAAGAAAAAAATATGCAAAATTTTAGTTTTTTGGAGCTGGATATTTTTTTTACAATTATATAATAGTGGAATAATTATTATAATTAAAAAAAATGTATACATGTGTACGTATGTACGTACATAAGAAGTTATACTTCTTTGGCGTAACAGAAAGAAAATAGGCAATAGCTAAAGATTTCATCCCGTATGTCACCCCTCTCTATTTGTATAAGGAATGCAGCTAACTTCATTATGTCGCTTTTTGGCTGTCCGTGTGCGCGCGCGTATCGTAAAAATGTTACTCTCATAATTTTTTCCAAATGTACCAAAAGAAGTATAACTTCAAAAATCACGCATATTCCCGATTACAGTACGATTCAAACTTAATGGCGGCTCGGAAGTTAGCTGCGAGTGCAGGTACGCGCATGTACGAGTACAGTCAAACAAATTAGTATTAAATAACAATTCTGTTAATTATATGAGTGTCAACCAAAAGTGTATAGCAAATTCAAACAATTTCTGTATAAAAATGTGTAGGGTTGATTTTTAAAGTATATCAATCTATCATTCATGAAGAGATAATATTGTGTTTTCAAACATTTACTTCTAGATTATATATAACACTCACTTCTCTAATATCATTTGGGACGACGATAGAACACCAGCCTTGGTGACGGCGTATGTTAGTCTTTAACATTTGACGGCATAATATCAGACCGCTGGTGAATCCCACGATAGCCAGCAGTATGGCTGTGAGGGACATACATACAACCCCCCTTGAGGATCGCTTTGGAATCTCTGCACCATGGATTTCAATCTTCTCCTAAATTATTAAGTATTTTATTAGTAATATAGAATTTAATAAATAATTCTCACTTAAAATCAGATAGATGACTATATTATTTATATTAGGGTGGTCGGTAAAAATGTAGGTAACTATTTCCTGTTTTTTAAGAAAAAATATGGGATATTTTGTATCAAAAATAACACTTGCCTTAAGAAGATCTTAGTTCTTTTTTTAGAAAATAGCTTCAGGTCGTAAAATCTAAAGAACATCTCCAAAATATACATTTTATGAATAAAATGGAAAGAACCTTTTTTGTAGAAACTTTAATTTCCTACAAAATTGCTGCTATAACTTATTCTTAAATCTGTATACTTTAAGATACTTACAAAAAAATAAAATTTTATCAAAAAATGAATTACGATTGTATAAGTCATGTATTATTATTATTTTTTTTAATAAAAATTTTTCATCATAAAGAAGGTTTTTTGGGGTGACGGGAAAAGTTTAATTTTTAACGACCACCCTAATATACCTTTATATTTAAGCTTAATGAAAAAATGAAGCTTTAATATTTTTGTAATATTTTTATTTTATTTCACATACTTATTATTTCTACATGCTATAACAGTTAAGTAAGTTAAAGAATTAAAATATATTTGTTAAATCATTAAAATAAATAAGTATCTGAAATGAAGATTATATTATACTGAAATAAAACATGTAACTTTTTTAGATGTATCATATTATAAGATATTAATTTGTTACAAGGCTTAATAAATTATTTTATTACTGCAAATTCTTCTGTTCAATAAAAGATTTGGAATACTTCTGATTACAATTTTATATTTATTTTATATATAATTTTTTTATAATTTCATATTTCTTTAATCATATGTGCATCTTGTGAATACAATCAGAGAATATGAAATTAAACTAAGTAATTTTATTTAAATAATTCCAATTATAAATGCTCAAAGTAGTACAAAACTTTTTACTAAAATATAATTTTCAATAAATCAAAATATTTCGTAGCGTACAAACTGCGCACTAGTAATATTTTACAGATATTACCTATAAAAGAATTAAAAATTGTCATTTTCTAAGTTTTTAGACAGACTTATTCGTTATAGGTACCTTTCTCTAAGAAAGAAAAACCTGCGCACCTATATTTTCTTCAATAGAACTCTGATCAAAATATTGATTACAATAGGGAACATATACCTACTACGCAGTATTAGCTATGCTAAAGGACGAGTCTACAAATTAATAAATATATAAATATATAGAATCTAATATCAAATGTCTGTATATTTCGTTTTAATGAAATAAAGATAAAATTTAAAATAATATAAAATGTAACTCACCTCATCGCAAGCATCTTTTTCAACTAAAAGTGTATTAGTTATCTCCGGCTTTCTCACTATAGCACTAGGCTTTGTTAAAACAGTCATTATTGAAGTTTCAACAAATCTTTAGAGTTAAGATCAAGTGGTACCTGAACAATGCAAACAACTATTTTCGGCAATTGTTTAATCGATCGCTCAGCATTCGCCAAACGCAAATCAAATTAGTGTTGACCGTTGCAACTTGCAAGTGGTAGATTCTTAGATTGCCAGCTACAAAAACAAATTTTAACATATAATATTATTTTACTCAATAAATTAAACCTTTGTGAATTGTGACTATGCTTACATATGTACTTGTAAATATTATTATGTATTTATGACAAATGAAAGCAGCATACATTTTTAATGACTCCATCAATTTTTTTTTTTTAATTTTTATTTGAAGGACTTGTTCACATAACAAAAAGCGAACATGTCGTCTTTGTAAATTTTACACATGGACAAATAACGAGTAAATACTTAATTATAAATAAAATTATGCACAGAGTAAAGAATACATAATATAGAAAGACTCCATCAATTGAAGTAAATATTCTACCAAATTGATGGAGCCTCGAAAGATTCACAGATTAATAATTTATTGACAGTATCAATCTACCTAATATAGAAAGAACTAAGAAGTTAGAAATATAGGTACCGAAAATATAAGTAGTACATACGTAAACGCTTCTGTACATGTTGTGAAAACTTAAGAAACGATAAAATAATTACGCAATTATTATACGATCGGCCAGCAATTGCATTTAATTTAATGTTTAAAAAACAAAAAAGTTAACACAAAGCATAATATAACTGTGTCATCTATTCAAATTTTTTGTGGCATCGATCATAAACAAATATCTATGCCGTATAGTTAATATTCTGTATGAACCATAGACAAGTTTTGAAAACAAAAAAAGTATTAGAATCTATGACATAAAAAAAAGAAAGAATTCGAGAAGGTGGGAAGAAAACGGACGGTTTCGTTTTGTAGAATATTCTGTGAATCTGTAGAGAGGTTAATGAATCAGCAACGCTTATAGTGCCGTTGAAACATGTTTGATTAGTTATCTGCATCATTCTTTTAAATTGTTTCTTTATTTCATTGTCTACTACGTATAATCGTTTGGCCACCACGACTGCGATCACAATAAAATGGCGACTGACCAAATGAAACACCGCATGCATGTTTTCAAGAATACGGGCAAAGATGTCGATGTAAGTATACAAATAAAAAATAATCATATGTATCTACTGATATAAAAATCTCGATGTGTTGTGATTACAAGTTTGAACGGTTTATTTTAGGAAATGCGCAGGCGGAGGAACGAAGTGACAGTCGAATTGAGAAAGAATAAAAGAGAAGAAACCCTACAGAAACGTCGCAATGTTCCCGTCAGCTACTCTACAGACGAAGATGACACAGATAGGACATTGGCCTCGATCGACCTCCAAGAATTGGTTATGAAAGCAGCTAACGCCGAGAACCCTGAAGTGCAGTTGGCAGCCGTTCAGCAATGTAGAAAATTATTGTCCTCCGATAAGAATCCACCAATAGATGAGTTGATAAAGACTGGAATATTACCTATACTTGTTCAGTGCCTTTCAAGGGCGGATAACCCGACGTTACAATTCGAAGCTGCTTGGGCTCTTACGAATATTGCGTCAGGAACATCCGCACAGACTAACAAAGTAGTACACGCAGGAGCTGTACCACTGTTCCTGTCATTGCTAATGTCACCACATGAAAATGTCTGTGAGCAGGCTGTTTGGGCTCTCGGTAATATTATTGGTGACGGACCTGTTTTGCGAGACTATGTTGTGGAGCTAGGAGTTGTCAAACCACTTCTAAGCTTTATCAAACCAGAAATACCCATCACGTTCCTTCGTAATGTTACATGGGTTATCGTGAACCTTTGTAGAAGTAAGGACCCTCCACCACCTGTCAAGACTATCAAAGAAATTTTGCCAGCGCTTAATGTGCTCATCACACACACAGATACCAATGTAAGTACTTAAGTTTATGTATTATATTTATGAACTAGCATTGCCCGCGGCTCCACCCGCATTCAGATGACCAAAAACCAAATGCTTAGGTTTTACATATTAGTATACTCTTACAATGCAGTTTTTGTATTTTTTCTTAGAAATGAGACATATTCCCGGAGTAAAAACTATCTTATGTGTTGACCCGGATAACCAGCTATAACCATACCAAATTTCATTAAAATCCCTCCAGTGGTTTTTCTGTGATGCGGTAACAGACAGGCAGACAAAAATTCTAAAAACTATAGATTGGGCCTCTGTAACGATGATAATGCTTGTTTCAGTAAGATTTTCCAAAAAATATTTAATGTACAGATTCGGTTTAGTTACAATTTTATTATATGTATAGAAGTGAAATAATTGTACACTTAATATAAATTAATGTCTTTGGATTGATGATAGTTAATATATAATAGGAATTAATTAGACAATCTAGGATTAGATAAATCATTTTATTATCTAAGTTTTAATGTCATGCACATTATAATAGTATGTGGTACGTAAATAACAATAAGGTTGTATCATATTAAAGAAAAATAATTGATTAGTATGAGCACAATATAGTAATAATGATGCATTTAATGTAAATAGATATGTAATAAAAAAAATAACATTTGAAGACAATAATAACAGTAATTCTGATTAATATTTTTTGTTTATAAAGGTACCAATAGTGTTTTAATTTGCTCAATATTTTAATTTGATATAATAGTAATCTAAATTAATATTTTAACTTTGTTTTAAATTACATATAAAACAAATAATAGTGCTTTTGATCAGGTAGTGAGTAAACAATTGTTTATGGTTTAAAAAAATTACAGAAATTCTATTATTAAAACAATAAAAAATATTTATTTTTATCTACAGAAGTTGACACAAACATGGATTTTTTTTTAAAGACAATATAACTATAATAGAAAAAGTCTATAATTACAAAAGGGAGCAAATGTTCATATATTCATAATTACTGACTCAAGTTGTTTTTAAAAACTTGTTGTAATTTTTGAATTAGGAAAGATTCAAAATTAACATTGAAAATAGATAAAATTATTTATAACTAAATTATAGAAATCTAATGTTTGGTTAAAAAGATTTACTAATTTTTGAAGTTATACTTCTTTTATTGTGTTATGAAGAAAAAAATAATGACAGTGAACTTTTTACAATGCGACAGTTAAATCTCCCTTTAGTATAGTATGATGTATAGACATCACTCATCACATCTGGAATATAGATTCAAGAGATTTGTTAATTCGGTTTTAGATGCTTTAGTATATTTCTAGTAGGTAAGTAGCTAAAAATAAAAGAAACATTCTATGCTTTTTATATACATACTTTCAAAAAATAGTCACTCGCTAAACAAGTCATTGTGTAAAATATGCTAAGAATGAAATAGTTTTAATTGGAATTAATTACTCCTGAGTTTAAATTCAATATTATGTATTGTGCCATCAAACCTCCGTAAGACCTTATTGCAGTCACATACAACTTTGAATTCCCATAAGGCTTGTAATAGTATAAGTCATAAGCAGTATTTTTAAATAAAATGTTATTTTGATAGGTTAGTTATATTATTATTATAATATTTTAAACTTGCAGACAGACATGTAAATACTTTTTATACATGTAATTACTTTATTTTATAGAATGTTAAATAATTATATATTAAGAACTTTTCAAGCTAAACTGATGAAGTTTAATTTTTTTATGGTATATATTGATGTATGAAGAAAAAGAAAATTATTTTTAATTTGCATTTTAACTACAGATAGGTTTACAATTAGATCAGTAATCTAAAGAAATTGTTTCTTTTTTAATGCCATGTATCAACTTTTGTTTATTAACAACTAGCGTCCCTGTACGATGATTACAGTCACAACTTCATGGGTTTTATTTTTTGCACGGAACCCTGATTCTTTTTCCAAAGTAAAAGTAGCCAAAGTTACTCCTTATAATATCATCTATCTACCAGCGAATGTGAGTCCCGTCAGAATCGGTCCAATCAACCGTTTCGGAGATTAGCTGGAACAAGCAGATAGACAAAAATTAAAAAAATTGTTTTTTCTTATTAGTTACTGCATACATGTACTTTCATATGCATTTAGTAAAAAGCTATTATTTTGACATTACAAACAGACACTTCAATTTTATTTATCTGTATAGATATTTGATTCAAAGCTGATGAGAGGATGAAAGGATTTGTATTTTAAGGTTTGCTTAGAGCACATACTAGGGATGTACCATTAGAGGTTTAATTTTAAGAGAAAAAACAATTAAATGTCAGTTATGTAACAATGTATACTTTTTATTACAGATCTTAGTAGACACAGTTTGGGCAATAAGCTATCTAACAGACGGTGGCAATGAACAAATTCAAATGGTCATAGATTCTGGTATTGTGCCTAAGTTGATCCCTCTGCTTTCACACAAAGAGGTAAGTTATTGAAATAATAATATTAAATGTAAAATGTCAAGTGTTCAAAGAAATATGTTTGGAGACATTTAAATTTTACAATGTGATTGACTTATACTTTAAAAGTATTGATAAGGCCTCATTTCTGCCCCTGAATTATATTAAAATAAATTATGTCATACAATTAGATTTTTTCTTTACATATTCTCAAAGTAGACTGTGTGTCTGATAAAAAAAAATATATTTATGAGAGAAATAAAACTATAATGAATACTAATTGTTAAGACACCAAATTTTGGTATAATTTGGATTTTCGTTGAAAATGAGACATTTTCAGTGACATTTCAACTTTTTTATATAGAGCACATATATGAAGCACTTTCTTTTTTATTTTATTTAAATGTTATCATGTAGTCTATAACTTATTTTGATTATTTAGATGTATACAAGGTCGCACACGGTATCCCAGTAGTAACGTGGTCGCTTGGGAAACCGAGCGAAGTGGGTTTACGTCCCGGGTCTTGAACCCCTGATAATTTCATGGGCGAATCATCCATGCGATTATTATTATGAATATGTTCGTGTCGCGCGCGCAGGTGAAGACGCAGACGGCGGCGCTGCGCGCGGTGGGCAACATCGTGACGGGCACGGACGAGCAGACGCAGGTGGTGCTCAACTGCGACGCGCTCTCGCACTTCCCCGCGCTGCTCTCGCACCCGGTACAAGCTTACCTTCACTATATATATATATATTAATATGTATTATAAAGGGAAAAACTGTATTTTAGTTTGTAATAGATAAACTGAAAATTCGCTGTACCGATTTGGATGAAATTTGGTATGACGATAGTTTGAGATCCTGCGATAGACACAGGATGAAACTGAAACCCTGAAATCACCCCTTAAGGGGTCAAATGAGTGATAAAAGTTTGTATAGGGATTGAGGAATTATTTATTTCTCAAGTAAGGTATATAAAACTAATTGTACCTATGTATATAAATACTAATACTAGCGACCCACCCTCGCTCCGCTCGGATCCATTCCTAGGTACATTTCGACGACTAGTATAGATTTTTCAGAGATATTTCCATGCAGTAAAAAGTATCCTATATGTCGACCCGGATAACCAGCTATCATCATCCAAATTCCATCAAAATTTGGACAGTGGTTTTCTCTTGACGCGTTCCGAGACAGACAGAAAAAAATATAAAAAGTATAGATTCGGCCTCTGCATCGATAATAATGACCTATGTATTTCAATAAGAAATTTCAAAAAATATTTAATGTATACATTCGACTCAGAATTTTATTATTTGTATAGATATAGTCTATCTATTCCATACTAACGGTTAAAACGTACCTAGGGACGAACCCGAGCCCGAGGGTGCGCTGCTAGTAATAATTTATATTTAAAATTTAGGTAAAGAGAAATCTGTTTAATTTTCACTACAAATACCAAAAGGTTGTTAAAAAAATTACAAATTTGCGAATTGGTATATCAATTAATATAATTATATACTATGATTCGTGTTACAAGATAATTACATGTTGGCTGGTAAATTATTATGGGCGTTAGATTTGCGTTAAGCCAAATCTGTACATTAAATAATTCTTGGAAAATCTTATTGAAATCGACATAACTGTTTATCGATACAGAGGCGAATCTATAGTTCTTAGAATTTTTGTTTGTCTGTCTGTCTGTGACCGCATCTCGGAAATACCACTGGAGGAATTTTGATGAAATTTGGTATGATGGTCGCTGGTTATCCGGGTCAACTAAAGGATACTTTTTACTGAGGGAAAATCTTCTTCTTCTTCCTGCCCATTTCCCACCTGTCATCTTCATCATCATCTTCTGTACTGCTGATAGGATTTGGCAAAAGTTTCACGACCGGCCGCCTCACGCCTGCCTGACGTCAACCCTCCTTGGGAATGCTGTTGTCTCTCTTTGTCTGAATGGTATCGCGGAAGTCTTGTAATTATTATGCACTTTCGATTTGTTTTATCTTTCAAAACAATTTTTATGCCATTACTTAAATTTGTAATGTTATTTTCGAATATATTTTAAAATAAATAAATCAAAATTTCATCATAAATTTTTTGAATTTTTACTGAGGGAAAATATAATAAATATCATTTCTGAGAAATCTATACTAAACGTTAAAACGTAAAGGAACAAACCCGAGCGAAACGAAGCTGAGTCGCTCGTCATATGTATGTATATAAAATTAAAGTGTCTACCTGGGATTTCAAAATAACTATCATTTCTGAAGTACATAAAGTTATTTATATGATACCAGTAGCTAATCAAAACTTTATATTGTCTGTGTTTCTGTTTATCCAGTGAAATATTTATGGTTCCAGTGAGAAAATTGATAACCCTTAAAAATTACGTAAAATTCGAATTTACGTCCTGTTTAAAGTAATTCACATTTTCATCATATGTATTTCAAAATATATTTATGTATCAGGATAATTGGTCACTACTATATAAATGCAAAAGTTTGGATGTTTGTTACTCTTTCAGGCCAGAACGGCTGAACGGATTTGGATGAAACGGTACGGTGGTCCTGTGGTTATATTGTTTTTATTTTTCATTAAAAATATACATCATATATTATATTAATTACATGAAAAATGTATTTATCAACACATGCCTTACATATTTTGCTAATATAATGAATTAGAAGGTGTTTGTATACTTTATTTAAGTCGGCAATGGAGCAGCTGTTAGTCTTGAAATTTTGCCAAAAACATATAGTTTGTAGGCTGGAGAGTTAAAATGGTTAAAACTTATTAGTTTCTTTGGGACAGTAATTGATTTAATAATAAATTGGTTTAAATATGAGGTACACAAAAGAAATCACGAATCTGCAGTATTATAAAAAAACATATCTTAATGGTTAATATGTAAATAAAAATAATGGCATATATGTTAATCAAGGGTATGAGCTGTGTTAAATGAAATAAAAATTAACTTTATTCTAATATTTATATATCTAATATATAAAAATCTTGTGTCACAGTGTTTGTGGTCGCACTCCTCCGAAACGGCTCGACCGTTATTATTGGATTTTTCTTGTTTACATATTTATAGTAGGTATGAGAATACGTCGTAAAGTATTTTTCACTTTCCTACCCCCATCCCCCATTCTTAAACCGCGATTATAGGATTTTTGTATGAAAAATATCTAAATAACTTATTATTATATAAATACATAGGGAGGAACCCGGTTAAAGCGAGAGTGAGTTGCTATATAACATAAAGCAATAGAGTTTTTGTTGTAGGTCGAACGCGGGCGTAGCCGCGGGTTTAGCTAGTATTTATATATACTCAAATAATATAATGTGAATGTGTGCAGAAAGAGAAGATCTGCAAGGAGGCGGTGTGGTTCCTGTCGAACATCACGGCGGGCAACAAGCAGCAGGTGCAGGCGGTGATCGACGCGGGGCTGCTGCCCAAGATCGTGGAGAACCTCAGCAAGGGCGAGTTCCAGACGCAGAAGGAGGCGGCGTGGGCCGTCAGCAACCTCAGCATCAGCGGCTCGCGCGAGCAGGTGGCCGCGCTCGTGGCCGCCGGCGTCGTGCCGCCCTTCTGCAACCTGCTCGCCTGCAAGGACACGCAGGTCATCAATGTGAGTACACCGGGATACTTTTGTATCAAACTAGCTTGCTTCCCAATATAAACTTTCATCCCCATTTCACCCTCTTAAGGAATTATTTCCGGGATAAAAGATATCCTATGTCCTTCTCAGGGTCTCAAACTATCTTCATATCAAATTTCATCTTAACCAGTTCAGTAGATCCAGAGAGTAACCCTCTACAACCTCACAAACTCACAAACTTTACCTTTTTATAATATTAGTAGAGTTATGTACTGGTTCAAATAATACTTTATTTACGCAAATATATGACATATTAAATAAAATTATCTTTTTGGGTTATTTCATGGATTTATTTAGGTTTTTGGTTCCTGACGTTTCGAATGCTTTACAGCTATCATGGTCACGGGAGAGACTGAGGTTGTAAACGTCTCAAAAATATTAATGGTTGATTGTCGTAAAGCATTCGAAACGTCGGAAACGAAAAAACAAAATAAATCTGTGAAATAATCCGAAAAGATACTTTTATTTAATAATCAAATACCTTACCATTGTATGTATCAATTATTATGATCAGGTGGTGCTGGACGGGCTCAGCAACATGCTGAAGATGGCGGGCGACAACGCGGAGCAGGTCGCCAACATGATCGAGGAGTGCGGCGGCATCGACAAGATCGAGGAGCTGCAGGGACACGAGAAGGTCGAGATATACAAGATGGCCTACGACATCATCGAGCAGTACTTCGCCGCAGAGGTACCACCTGTCGTTTTGTGTTTATGGCTTTTTGTGAGCTCATAATTTAAATTTAAATATTTACCTTAAAATACGTTCAATTGGAAAAATTCAGTAATTATAAGTAACATGGTGCTTTTATAATGCAGAATTAACTATGTAATTAAATAAACCTTTCTTAGTGTCGCGGCTAACCCCATCTAGCTTGTACATAAGGCAACTGCCTATGGAACTTGAAGTAGTTGCCACCGTTGGCCGTTGTATGGCGCTGCGGCGATTTTTTCGGTGTCTATTTTTTGTGTGTATCACCATAGACAAGTCATAGACATTAATTAGATAGTTACAAGTGGAAATTGAAATCTTTCATTCTCTTTGTTAACTCGTAATGCTCCGAACATATTTTATATACGAACCATTGTAAAACACGAAATTAAACGTAATTCGAGATAGTCTACGTTTTATTTGAAGATCGCCGTAGTTTTTGGCTGATCGTTGCTGAACCACTTAGATATACGCAAATATTTGATATTTTAACTAAAAAGTAAAAATCATATTTTCGAAGTATTTCGAGGATTTATGTGATCCGTGACATTAGTGCTATAATAGAGCACTCGAGATGTGCACTAAAAATAAAAACAAAAAAGCGAAAAGTCTGTTTTTTTTCTATTTGAATTGAATATAGTATACTTAGAACATTCTGAATTGAACAGTAACAATATTTGTGTTGCAGGAGGAGGACGTGACGCTGGTGCCCGCCGCCGCCGACCAGGGCTTCACGTTCGAGCCCGCGCCCGCGCACCACGACTCCTTCCACTTCTGAGCAGCCGACACCCCCCGCCCGACCCCCGCGCCCCGCAGACGACCTACGCGATATATTTATAAGATATGAGTTTAAATGACTGTTTAGAAATTTCAATATTTAGGCTTTGTTTATTTTCATTTTTCCTAAAGAGCGATGGTTACGTAAATGCAGTTACTGTTAGTGGTATCTTGTGTTCGCTTCTGAACGGCGAAGTAATGTGTCGGTGTGCTGCTGCGGGGCGTAGTCATGTTTAAGTTGGATATGTTACAATCTCGTATTAATTATTTTTCTAAAGTTACAGTACGTATTGTAGATTAACCCTGACGATTATAAGTGCCGCGCCCGCCGTGCGTCGACGGGGCGGCGTGGCGGGCGCGAGGCTCGAGCTGCCGGTTTCGATGTTTCATAGTTTTACAATGAACGTGTTGTGAATCACGGTGACAGTTGCGTACATTGTTGTACGGTTGATTTTTAAAGTGAAATAATGTTACAATTTTATTTTTTTTAATTTATGAAAAGCAGCTCGAATCCAACGATTGACTTACCGGAGACTAGCGGAGCGCGCTGATGTGTCGCATCCGATGTTGAATTACGGCGTTAAATATTTTATATATTATTATATTACATACAGTTAGGATACACGCGCACTGCGGACTTGCACTTAGTGCGGTGCCGGCGCGGGCGACACGCGACAGACTAACTGCAGGTGCGCGGCGACGAGGAAGCGCCCGATGAATTAACGAACGAGCTAGTTTAAATGTATTTAATTTAGGTCGAGTTTCGAGAGAAACGTTTTTGAGCGACAGTTGTTAATTAATTATCGTTCGTCGATTCAATGGGCGAGCGTTAAACAAAAAAGCCCCAGCGGCGCCCCCGCACCCCCGGGCCCCCGGCGCTCCCCCGGGGGCCTCGGCGCGCCCCCGGAGGCCCCGGGGGCTCGCTGGGGCTTCGTTGTGATACAACTCTATTGTGATGTTTGAAATTTTTCAATTTGTTTTATCGATTTCGTATAATAACGGACGACGGACGTGAGATAGCTTTAACGTGAAGTGCCGCGTGCGTGTACTCACCGTACTGCTTACAGGTCGAATGCTTTTATAACATAGTGTTTATGTTTCCATGTAACTAAGCGGCGACGTTTTGTTTAGAGTTAGTTCTGACATTGAGCCGTTTGTAACTACATAATATAATATATATATCAATAAATTCTGTCCAACACCCGTGCTATTTCATTTCTCGTCCCGAGGCGGCGCGTCGCGTCACGTCGCGTCGCATGTATAGATAACATAAGTATTTTACTTTATATCATATTTTCTTAGTGAATAAAGCGTTTTATATTTATTTAGTTTTATTCATTCGTTTTTAATTAACGAATTTCACCTTCATGCTAAGATATTTAAGTAGTGGTCTGTATGAAGAGGGAGGTTGATTCGATCTTGATACTTGTTGGCCCTGACTACAAATATGTGCTTCATTCAAATTAGCAGATGCAAATAATAATTGAAATTAACAAAGTGATATTAAATATAAAAAGGATAATATTTGATGATATAAAAACTTTTTAACAAAAAAATAAAATAAAAACCGACTTCAAACAAAAGCACTAAAAAGTAAAAAATAACTGATTGGTAGTTTGCATTTACTATACATACCTAATCAAATATTTTCGAAGTCGGTGTGCTTTGCTTTGTATGGGCTGGCACCAATTTCGAAAATATTTGATTAGGTATGTATAGTAAATGAAAACTACCAATCAGTTATTTTTTACTTTTTAGTGCTTTTGTTTGAAGTCTGTTTTTATTTTTTTGTTATTTTTTTTTTTTTTAGCTTTTTAGTGTAGACAGTAGTAGCAAAGTAAGAATTCTAACGTGTTAGGCTTGTCAAATCAAACAAAATAAGCCGAAACTCAAAGTATCTACTATTAGCCGTTGAAGAGTTCCACTTATCCACCATCTGGCCTTACCATCAGATCAGGTCAACAACACCGAACCACTGTACTATCAACGAAAATAGAAACACTTGCAAAATTTCAAGTCAATATGACTATTAGAAGTAGGTTAAATTCATCATTAGCTATTTTTCCACCCTTAGGGGTGGTATTTTTTTTGAAATTTAAATGGGACCAATCTGGAAGTATACACTTTCAAACAACACAAAAATTGTCCAAATCGGTTAATAAATGACGGAGTTCTGAGGTAAAAACATAAAAAAAAATACAGTCGAATTGAGAACCTCCTCCTTTTTCAAGTCGGTTGAAAATAGGGTAAAAGTATTATTTTTATTATCAACAAAACTTAAAAAGTATATGTATGTCGACGATCGACTATCTTGGACAGTAAATATTTACCTATTATTAAAGAAATATTTATCTACCTGATTTCAAATAAGAAATATGCACATGTAAGAAAGATAGCTATTAGGGCAGTCCAGTCGTGACGCACTTGCTTAGGAAACTGAGTGAAGCGGGTTCCAATCCCGGGTCTCGCCTCGCACCTCTGATATCATGTGCGAATTATGTTTAACATTTGGAAAGAATATGTCCGCTAATCTGCATTTGGTCAGCGTGATGAAATATGGCGCGATCCCGCATGTCAAAGGGAGGCAAAGGCCTAGCCGTGGGACGTTCAAAATATAATATGTAGCAATATACTCTATGTTAGCGGCTCACCGTCACTTCGCTCGGGTTCGCCTCTAGAAAAACAAGCCTATCCCACGGGAACCGTACTTTTTTCCAGAATAAAAAGTAGCCTATGTGTTATTCCATACTAATCTATCTCCGTACCAAATTTTATCCAGATCCATTTAGCCGTTCTGGCGTGAAAGAGTAAGAGTGACCAGCCAGCAGTCCGATTAGAAAAATAGAAAAATCGTATTTTTACGTTTTCTGGGTATTTGTTTCCAATTTTTCTCTTCATAAGAATCTTTCTAGCATTGGGGAATATTTGAATAGAAAAAAAAACCGAAATAGTCCAGCGAGTTTTGCGTTTAGCGACAATACATTTAGTAATTCATTTTTATTTATATAGAAGTTAATAATTAAAAGTCGGTTTCATGTCTTTTAAAAGATTTATTTATAAGTGATAGCAACCCCGCGGTTATCGCGCGTGCAGCTGCAGTCCGCGCGCCGCCAGCCGCCGCTGCAGCGCCTCCGCGTCGTGGAACTTGCCAACCTTTTGCTGGAAACTGCAATGATTAAAACTATATTAAAGTATTTATTTGTATTATGTACGTATTTGTGGCAATGATGCTTAATATTGTTTTTGTTATGTTTTAAACAAGATTAATATTCATTTTGTTTAATTTTCGTAGGGTTTCTCCAGCATATTCATTAAAATTCATACATGTGTTTTAAGAAATATTCAAATTTCAAAAAGTTATTTTAAACAAATTAAATATACTATCCAAAATACTAATATCATAATTGTGAACTATAGTGAAAGTAATTTTAAATAAAACTATCTTTTTGGATTTTTCCGCGTATTTATTTTTATTTTTGATTCCCGACGTTTCGAATGCTTTACAGCAATCATGGGCACGGGTGAGACTAGAAATCTAAGAAAGTATTAGTAAAAGTAACTTTGTCTGTTACGTTTTCGTACCTAAGTCGCCTGAACCAATTTTGATGAATTTTGATAGAGATATAGATGGGACCTTCGAGAAGGACATAGATTAGTTTTATTTTGATAGTAAAATGAAAGTATGAAAGTCCTGCTGCTAGCCAGCTAGAGACAAAGATGAGTTATATATCATGGTTCAATATATTTATAAAAAATAAAGAAACTCAATGCGAGTATAATACATGTAAAAGACCCCATAGAGCCCTAGAGTATTCAACAATCAAAAACCTATTTATTGTACTATTTATTTATTTTTTCTTGTCCCGCGGCTTAGAAAAAATAAAGAGCATTTTACATTTAAAATATAAGGAATAGGGAATATGCGACTTAAATAAAGGTGATTTTGTTTTGTTCTCTTAATTGCTTTTGAATTAAACCTATATCAATATTTTTTAATGTAGGTAATTTTTTTTAATTAAGAAAATAACTATTGAAAAGTGGTACGGGTGGGAAAATCATAATAGTTGAAACGCACGTCATTTTTGCCGTTTAAAGTATCCGGTATGATATTTTCAAAACAAATTTTTTATAAAATTTTAGTTTTTTGGAGCTGGATTTATTTTTAAAATTATATAACGTAATTATATAAAATAAAAAAATCATGCACATTCCCTGTTGAATGAAATCGAAAAACGCAAAGCGTAGGTACTTGGGCAGGGGTTTGTCCCAGTGGTTGTCGAGCCTGTTGCGGCGCATGATGCGCGCGAGGCGCTGGATGAGGCTGAAGTTGTCGCTGGCGACGGCGGCGCGGCGCTCCGCCTCGCGCTGCCAGCGCTTTAGCTTCAGCGCCACGTGCGGCCGCGGCGCCGGCGCGCGCGCGTCCACCGCCGCACGCGCACACTGCACCTGTATAGTGTATTGGTTTTTTTAAGTGAAACAGAAAACTTCTTTAGAACCGTTTGCGATTTAAAGAAAATATGACACTAAAAAGAGACAAACAATGTTTAGGATAAAGCCGGCGAGAGAATGAGATAGAATATATTACCATGTTGCCATGGTAACCGTTATTGTCTGACTAATATAATACTATATATTCTTTGCGTATATGATATTCTATAAAAATATGATTTTAATATGCTAAATTTGCCTTATTTAATTATTTGAGATAGAATGCAATTGGCATTACACAGGAAGTGAAAAATAATAAAATTAATTACTGAATGATACGTAGTGTACCTATATTTATGTCAAATAAAATGTAAAATAACTTTTAAAGTTGATAAAAATATTATAAAAAAATAAACATTACCTTTCTAAAAAATATCTCATTTCTGAGAAAAAATGCAAAACTGCAAATTAAGAGTATCTGTAAAACCTAAGAACTTGGTTATTGGTCATCTGAACGCGGTCGGAGCCGCGGGCAATGCTAGTAGTATAAAAAATTATTATAAGTAGTAGTTACCTTAGACCTGTGATCTTTATACCGCCGTTCTTCCCAGGGCTGAACTAACAGTTTCTCTCTCCTTGACAGCATTCTTATAATTTTTTATTAAAACTTATAATTTACCATTCAGACCAAACGTCTGGACGAAGTGTTCTTTTAAGATTATTAAATCAATATCAAATATGTTGCTATGATGCTTAAAGTTTGTTGTTCCGGGATACAAAATGTTTGAGACTATGAACTAAACTTCAAACTGTATTTCATAAAATTCCTGCTGTAATTATAAAAAAAAGACTTAAAAAAACAGACTTCAAAGAAAACTATTAAGTAAAAAATAACCGAAGTCGGTTTGCTTTGATTTATTTCGGCCGGCACCGACTTTATTAGGTATCTATGGAGTCCCGGGGGAGAAGCCAACTCCTACCGGGCGCGTCCCCAGGTGACGGATAGGGGAATGCCACCCGCTTAGGGCGGCGGGTGGTACCGGAGAAATCCGGCGCGGACCAAATGGCTTGGGTGGGGCCGCTCGTCTAGGCCTCGAGCCGAAGACGTTGCGGCCACCGGTGGTGGGACCACTTGGTCCCACAACCGGATGATGGGTGCCGGTTGCGGGACTGTGGTCGCAGGCCCGCATCCGGCGGAGGGGTAGGCCGCGGCGGGAGAGGAGTGCCGGTATTTCGGTGCGCCGTTTTCCCTACCTTCCGCGGCCTAGACGGGGCCGCCACCGTCTGATGGCGGACGCGGTGGGGCTGCAGGGGAAGAGGAGTGTCGGTGTTTCGTTGCCGCTCTCCCTGTCCTCTGCAGCCGATTGGAGGTGGCCCACTTCGGTGGGCGGAGGTTCGATTTTATGGAGCTGCTCCGGGTACCTCTCTGGTGTAGCAGAGTTGACTGTGGAGCAGCCCCATCGGTGTGGTGGTCAGCCGTTGGCAGACCTGCCGCCGGGGCGCCGTAGTAGTTATGCGCAAGCGATCCTGCGGCGTCCCATTAAGGCGGAGGGGAGGGGAATGTCGGGTTTTAGTGGGTAGTACCGGCTCTTCTAGCCGGTGAGCCCCACATCACCACCTGGGGGATCAGGTGGTATGCGTAAATGCATTTCCCGACATAAAAAAAAAGGTATCTATGGAGTGGCAGGCGTGTAAATAGCCGTGCCCTCTTTGCGGTGTGGGAACAAAAATTACGGTCCAGCGCGTGGAGACGCGTGGACCCAACACTGTCCTTAGAATATCTTTAAAAACGTATTTGGCGGTTGATGTAATAGCTACAACTATGCGGGATAAAAGCAAGTCGCTTACCTGGTGCAGCTCGCTGATCTTCTTGGTGGCCACCTTAACAGCTCGCGTGCACTTCACAGTGGGAGTCGGGAGAAAACGAGTACCGGAACAGTTATAGTGCCCGCCGTGTCTAAGCGAGCCTTATATATTATGAGCCGCGTGTCGGTAAACGCGCCAATCAGAATTCGGGCGAGTGGCGCTGCCTGCAGGATTGCGACTGCAACCCGCAAGTCGAATGCTATAGATCATCCTTACCAAAAAACGTAAAAAAAGACAATTCAAGGAATTATAATAAATGAAAAGTACCAATCTTTTCTCTTTTTAGTGTAGACGTAGTAGCAGCAAAGTAGAAAGTATTTTAATAAAATATGCCAAATTTACATTAAGGTTGACAAAATAAAATTCGCGTTTATTAGTAAAACTAAAAATTCTGGCTCTAAAATCCGATTCTAACGTATTGGGCTTGTCAAATCAAACAAAATAAGCCCATCAGATCATGTCGAAGATACCTAACCACTGCACTACCAACAGAAATAGAAACACTGGCAAAGTTTAAGTCAATATGACAATTATTAGAAGTAGGTTAAATTCATCAATAGCTATTTCACTCTTAGGGATGGGATTTTTTTTTTGAAATTTAAATGGAACCAACCTGAAAATATACACTTTCAAACAAAACTTGCCTAGTATATAATAAAAATGTTAATAAATGACAGTTCCTGATCACTACCAATAAGGCGGTTAAGTAAGCAGGTGGCTGAAGGACGATTTCACTTTGGATCTTAGACTTTAATATATATACAAGTATGAGCAAAGAAAAAGAGGATAAATTAAAAATATAAATGTTATATAATTTAGGAACAAAAAAATATATATTAATAAAATATCGTTTTCATTTGCAATAATGTTTATTTCTGTAAATATGAACCAATACTTGGCATAACATACACAACACAATACTTCCATTCACTATGACACAAATAGCATCTAACCTTTAAGAACTATTTACATTTAAAAATGATGTTGAATGAAACAATATCAAACATCACAAAATTACAAAACATCCAAGTTCACTTACATATTTCCAAAAACTGACCAAGCTTATCCCAGTATCAACCACATAATAGAAATTATTATACTTATTTCCATTTTACAATATCAAATTAATTCGCAGGACCTAAACTAAAAAAGGCATTTATTGAACTTGAGGGAATAACAAATTATTGAAAACATTTTAATAATTTGTTTTGTCATAGTTTTTGTTGTTCCCCGTGTCATAGTGAACACAAAGTTAAACTCATATGACTGCAGGAAATTCTCTTACAAGATTAATGCAAATATATGTTATAGTTACAATGGTGCAATATACAAACAGATTTTACAGCATATTGGGACAATATAATTTACCGTTAGAAAAAATAGATTTAGTTACCTTTGAATGTAAGAATAACAATTAAATAAAAACAATTTTTGTCTATGTTGAAGTATGGTCACTATCACAATAAAAAAAGAAGTAACGGCACACTAGAGAATATGAACAATTTCTTTGAGATTTCCAAATAGCTATGAGTGGCCTTTAAATTATATTTATGATCCATATAAAATGTTTTGGTTATTTATTATCTGGCATTAAAATAGCTAATAATTATAAATTTAAACTAACTGAAAAATAGCATTCAATGGTAATATCACAAACCAACAATAAAAGGAAGAGCAACGCGCTCTGCGAAATTGATTCGTGTAACAGTATCGATATCGCAATTCGATCAGCTCGAGCCGGTTCAGGCGGAGGCCATCTTGCAGAGGTGCCGCAGCTGCATGATCTTGATGTCGTCGGCGCCGAACTTGACGACGCCCTCCTGGTTCTCGATGGAGATGAGCTGCCCCACGGCGTCGCGGTCCTCGCCCGCGATCACCTTGACGCGGTCGCCGGCGTGCGGCACCACGGGCTCCAGCTGGTGCGCCGGCAGGTTCAGCACGCGGTCCTCCAGCGGCAGGAACACGGCGCACTGCGCGCCCGACACGCCGCGCAGCGCGCCCGCCTGCCCGCGCAGCCCCGCCTCGCCCCCGCGCACGCGCACCTCCAGCTCCGGCGCGTGCCAGTCCTCCTCCTCGGGCGAGTAGCCGCCCGGCGACAGGTAGCCGGGGCTGGGCCGGTACGGGCTGTACGTGTGGTCCGACCCGTACATGGTGCCCGGCGTCTGCGGCGTGAAGGGCCCCTGCGCGTACGCCGCGTCCGGCGGCAGCGCCAGCGCCAGCGACAGGTCCAGGTCGGCGCGCGGCGTGTGCGCGGCCGCGTCCCACGCGCCGTGCGCCGGCGTGCGCGCGCCCTCGTGCGCCGGCGTGCTGGCGCCGTAGTGCGGCGTGCGCGAGCCCGCCTCGTACACCGGCGTCTGCGCGCCCTGCAGCGGCGTCTTCAGCCCTTCGCGGTACGTGGGCGTGTGCGCGCCGGCGCGCAGCGGCGTGCGCGCGTAGGCGGAGGCGCCGGGCGCCGCGCCGCGCCCCGCGCCCGCGCCCGCCGCCGCGATGTGGCCGCGGTCCACGCTGATGGTCTGGCAGGTGGCGTGCAGCTCGACGCGCGCCGTGCTGCCGGTGGCGTCGCGCACGATACCCACGTTGCCCTTGTAGGGCCCGCCCGTGATCTTGATGGTCTCGCCGATGAGCTCGCGGTCGCGCGCCGCCGCGCCGCCGCGGCCGCCGCGCCCGCCGCGCCCGCGCCCGCCGCCGCGCCCCGACGGGTGCATGGGCGACTGGATGCGCGGCGACATGAAGCCGAGCGCGAGCCCATTTGCGCTCGCGTTGTTCTTGGCGCCGCCGGCCAGCTGCAGGTGCCGGGTCTTGCACACGAATATGCCGCCGTTGTCCAGGTACATGCGCGATTGCAGAAAGGCAAAGTTCCTGTACAGGTGTTTTATTTCGCCCTCGCGACCGGCGTGAGGGCCGTCGATAACTTTGACGATGTCTTTCTTCTGGATGGTGTTCTGTTCGGAATCCAGAGCCATTGTGAAACGATTCTCTCTACGCTTTTGCAACGCTTGCGGCTTGCATTCTATAACTTTCCCTTGCATGCCCAGAACGTGGAAGTTCTCCTTCTCTAAGCGAACGATGACACCCACGGTCTGAGCGTCCAGTAGCACCATGTCGCCCCACTGGAACTGTCCGAGCGAATCCACGCCCGTCGCCATGTCGGAACACAGTTGCAGATCTCGCGGAAGCACTTCGAGCTCGTGCATCGTCAAGTCGGAAACTAAGACGACTCTATGGGGCTCCACTCTCACGATCAAGCCCGTGTCACCTTCGTATCTGCCGGCTAGTACTTTCACGTGATCTCCTTGTTTGAAGTACTTTCGTAACTCGTTAGGTTTAAAAACTAGTGGGTCTTTCAAAGCGTCATGTTTTGGCATAACTGTAATCATAGAACCGTCGATCGCGATGATCCGAGCCTGGAGATTGGCCAAATCACCAGAACAAACTTCAACGTTGTCTCCCATTGAGAATGAATGCAAACTCGTGGGGTCATCTTTGGCGGGCGCTGCGAGTTCTATATCGATGCCTTCGGGCTGTTCCTCGAATCTTTCCAGCTCAGTCAACGTAGGTTTTACACCCTCCGCTAATATAGCAGACATAGTAAAGTTTTTGTACAGGAAACCCTTTCGAGAATATCTGTTTCCCTCAAATATAAGGAAGTCACCATCTGAGGTCACCTCTCCACCGATAGCACGAATAGCTTCGGGGTCAAACGGTTTCGCCGCAGGTCGGCGCTTCTTCTTACGTTTTGCCGCCTCGCTTTCACTTTGCACAGTCCTTAAAGCTCCTCGGAGTCTTGTGTAGTCGATTCTTGGTAATAACTTGAGATGCACTTGATTTTGTGCTAGATCCACGTAGTCAACTTGAGCAATGTCATCCTTGTACAGACCTCTCTTTAACCGAACCCATTGTTTCGGCTTTAGACCAGACTGTTCCTTCACGACCCTCAAAACATCAGTCATTTCCTTAATCGGTACCATCTCTTGCTTGTAAATACCCATCCTTAGATTGCCAACGTCTTCTATAATTGCTTTAACATGTGGTTGTTTGTAGGCCTCAATATAGATGTATCCTTTTACACCCTCGGGCGCAACGACCGATTTAATTTTGAAAGGATTCTCTGAATTCTGATAAGTGATGAACTTCCTCATAAGCAACAGCACAGTGGATTTTTCTTCACCGATTCGACATTTGACCATCCATAAATTCGGGTCCTTTATTCCTGGGAGTAATGTTTGCTGGGTGATCTCATCTGACATTTCTTCCCCACCCTCACCAAAGTGTCTGAGAGCTGCAGATTCATCAGCGTATTTGTTCCTCAAATATTCCTCAATTTCCTCCTCTTTCTGTGAGTCCCAGAGATTAGTTCCACGGCGACGCCCTTCAATTTCCCTAGCAGTTGGACCGATTTCGTCAACTTCGTTACCAACAATACCCATTTCTTGTGCTCCTTCTTCCCATTCATCATCTTCATCGACTTCGTCATCAACCTATAATTTCAAAATGTTATATGTTAAAAATCTTTGAAAATTTCAAAGACAAGCAGTGTTATCTAGTTATCGGAGATTCAGGTATGGCCTCAATAGAAATTTAAAGTTTTTAAATCTTTCACACAAAACCAGTTAAGGTAATTTGTTCTTTTTCATATAATTATTTTTATTATCATACGAACAATGTGCAGTACATTGTATATGTACATATATTAATAGCTATTTTCTGGGTATTGTAGAATGCATAATAATTATATAAGTACTTGTATATTATAATACATGATAGAATAATTATCAGAATGAACTAAGTCTGTAAGTCAATAACATCAACAAGATTGGGACGGTAATTAAGAAGCATATGATCTGATTGCGACGAAATTTAAAAATGAAAAATGTATGTATGCCTTAAAATGATGTTTTAGGGGTTTTTTTGAGGTTTTACATAAAGAAATGTTCTATATATATTTTTTGTAATACATATATAGTTTTGACTGTAGGAACACAGCAAACCTCATAAAATAAAGGCTTCATAGCTGCAAAAGTGTAGTAGGTAGATAACAAGATTACTTGTTCTAAACAATTTGTTAACAACCAATAATAAAATATTATATTATTTTATCCTCAATCAATATATAAATAATAAATACTATAACCATACCTCAGCTTCATCAATAATGAAACCGCCATAACGACTGTCCTTTTTGCGTTTCTTTCTACGTCTTTCTTCTTCTTCATCTTCATCATACTCTTCAGAATCTACTAAGTCATCCCCCTCGGGTTCTTGCTCATCCTAGGCAAAAAAAGTAGCTGTTTATTTAGTAAAACAAAAGAAAAAAGAAAGCAGTTATTGAATACACCCTTATCAAATTATAAATAAGTACTATTAAATGTATATAATGTCTCATAATTGTTGAGATAAGAATACTAATGATCAACATAGTAGGTTAAATAATATAATATGACATATGGATGTGAATTTATTGATAATAGTCGTAATTAAATACCTCAACTTCTTCATCCCCAGAGGCTTCTTTCGCTTCGTCATCTCTATTGCGGCTACCATCGGAACCAGCCGAGCGGCTCCTGTTAAATTGGACGTAATCAACTTTACATGCAAACACTTGTATGATTTTGTTTTAATGATATTAGTGTAATAATAACCTGTAATACAATAATTACCTGGAACGAGAGCGTGAGCGTGAGCGTGATCGGGACCTAGACCGCGACCTCGATGGTGATCTTGAAGGGCTTCGACTGCCCGACTGCGAACGGGATCTGGAACGGGAGGCTGACCTAGCTGAATGATTTGATGCAGCACTTCTACGTGATCGATTAGACACTACACTGCCGGCTTCGGAACCACTGCCGGAAAAGTTACTTCCCTCGGAATCAGACATTTTCACTGCACATGAAAATATATACTATTTCGATTACATTTAGGGAGAAAAATATAATTTTCAGTGAAATTTGAGTAATACGTTGACGCTAGCAAACGTGACAGTCACAGACAAACACAAACTAAAAGGATCACACAGTACTCACAGATAGTGATGCACGACTGTGAATGATTCCAATCGAACTGTTCGATTACATAAATCATTCGAGTATTAGTTACAATATTATCCCTATTGTAAAGGCCAATAAAAGGTACATAGAAACCAATAAATGCTTATTGGTTTCTATGTGGCTTTTGCTTTTGATGAGATCTTATTGGAGCTTTTAAATAGGGATGATATTGCCAGACGAATATATTAATATTACCTGAGGAATATCGCTACAAATGATCAATTACAAATACAAATCCTTTGTTCGTATTTCATTTCAAAGCCAAACTGGCGACTGAGTCACTGTCGGACCAATTTAGTTTAAACGCCGTTTGTAATTACTAATTAGTAATATTATTCGATTATTAACATTAGTTTATTACTAATATTCAAGTCGAATGTGTAATTAGTAGTTAGTAGATAATTCGAATCATCGGATCATTCGACTTTGCGCATCACTCACAGACAGCTACTGGGAACAAGTTGGCATCACTGATCAGATATTTTTATACAGATTACAAAAGAATATGATTTTCACAGACTCATTATCTGTATACCAGTTGTCAAAATTACAAATCAAATATGTTCACATAATTTAAAATTTTACAGTTCACTTTGATATTCCGTCTATAATAAATTAATAAGATTAACAAGAAAATATTAATTCATTTTGGGAGATTATTCTCTCATGTCATAATACCACTCTCATATTCTCTATGCCGTTTTCGACCAATAAAAATAAATCCTTTCTTTTGTCTATTGATTCGTCGCTGCCCCACCGACTGGTGTGAAAATTTTGTAAAAAATTATAAATGGGATAATATTACGTGAATATTCAATAGGAACCGACAGATACAGGATAAATGAAATATCATTTAGTATAATTTGTACGTAGCATCTTATTAAAAGAGAGAACGATGTGGTTGTAACGTTTGTCTCTTGCAGATCGTCAAATAGCTTTCGATCGTAATTTCGCACGTCCTATTACAAACAATCGCAAGTTTTTGCTCCCAAAGTGTCATTCTGGTTAGTCGTGGAAGTGCAAGAAGTTACCGTGTGTAGTGGTGCAGTGTGGTGCAGTGCGGTGGTGCGGGGCGAGATGTATCAGTGAGGGCGGTGAACGCCGAGCGAGGGTCCCCGGGTGTCATGTTGGAGACGCGGTCGGTTCGTACCGCAGATTCGGTGTGGGCGAACAAGCCGCTGCCGGCGCCTCACGCCATGGCCAACTCCAGGCACGGGAAGAACACCCAGGTAAGATTAAACTATCGATCTGTTGAAACCTGTGCTTCCTCAGGTTCTATAATGCATAATTCTCATATGACGTGATTATTTTTGTAAATTTTAATGTTTTAAGTTCCAACCAGTATTTAAAAATAAAATAAATATGCATTCTAACATGACAAGAATTCTTGAATAGTAAATAGTCATAGCTTCTATTTCAAATAAAACTCAAATAGTGGTTATAATAAAAATATTTACTTATAGAAGATACAATCTTTACTTTCAATTTCATACACACATAATACAATACAATGTGTATATTCAATGGCATGTTGTGTTAATTACACAATTTATGCTAATGTTAATTGATGTTAGCTTCCTTTGCTCTCTCTTAGCTGGCTGGTCTAACCTTCTACACTTCCCTACATATATGTGTAGGATGTGAGGGAAGTGCTAATGAATTATTCAATATTATACAATATACAGACCATCCATATTTAATAGTTAATGATTTTCATGTATTGAAGTGATTTATTCTTAGTGCACTTTGTTTAGATATTTTTTTTTTTAGTTAAGATGTGTCAAATGTTTTATATAAATTCTACTTAATGCTTATCCATAGAATCATTTCCTTTTTGATTAAAATCAAAAATTGTCTTTATTTGAAAATAGGGACTCACCCTTGCTTCGCTCGGGTTTGTTCCTAGGTTGATTCCCCATACAAACTTGCATCCCCATTTTCACCCTTTTAAGGGATGATTTCCGGGATAAAAAGAGTAACCTATGTCTTTCTCAGGGTCTCAAACTATCTTCTTACCAAATTTCATCTAAATCGGTTCAGTAGATCCAGAGGTTGCCCCATATAACGTCACAAACTCTCAAACTTACCTCTTTATAATATTAGTATAGATTAAAATAAAAACTAACAGCAGTCTTACTCAAGAGATAAAGTCACGGAACAGTTTTTTTCTATGATTATTATATTCTGAAAACAAGATTTTAGAAATTCATTTTATAAAGTAAATTATTTAAAACTTGCTAAAGTTCTCAATTTTACTGCTATATAAATAATAAAATTCAAAATATTATTAGGAGTTATTGTGGAATTTAAATTAAAATCTTTACTCATATCATAAATCGTGATGATGACGACTCATTCTTATAGGAAACAATTATAGATAATCTTCAACATACATAATATTTTTTATATTATTATTTATTTTATAACTAGCAGAACCCACGGCTTCGCTCGCGCTTAAACTACAAAAAAAGTCTAAAAAGGTAGTTTCATACAAACTTTCATGCCCTATTTTAGCCCTTTATTGGATGAATTTCGAAAAATGCTAAAACACGTATTTATATAATTGTATTGAAGAGCATTAATACCAAGTACCAAGTAATTCTGATCAATTTTTTTTTCGGTTGTATTATAACGTGTTTTCCCGTGGGAAATAGATGATTTCCCACTGTAAAAAAATCCCTCTCTCGTAGTCACTCTCCAGCCCTCCAACTATCTTCACACAAAAAATCGAAGTATGAAAAACGTAACTACAGTTAACTGAAGGCTGGTTTATAAATTACAATTGTATATTTTATTTATTTCATAAGCACACTACAATATACATATTTAACATTAACACACAAAATATTGAGAAAATTGAAAAGTACTTAACTCACACTGATATGTATATCAATAACATTCACCAACAAATGCATGTAAGCATTGAGATGGGGGAAAAGGAAAAAAGAGTATACATATATGTTTATTTCAATGTACATGAAGACTCACGGCCGGTCGTAAAACTTTTGCCAAATCCTTTCAGCAGTACAGAGGATGTACTGCGCCGACCCCAAGTGATTGGGAAATGGGCAGGGAGAAGAAGAAGAAATGAAGACTCACAATGTAGATGATCGGTGAGTTTTTTTTAAAGACAGCTTAGGTAATTGTATATATAGGTAAATGAGTTAAATTATTTATCACTGTCAGATTGCAATTTATTTGATAAAAAATTTTGAAAATGATATTATCAACCTTTAATAACTAAAAAATCTACTCATAAATAATTTCAAAATGACTTTCAATACGTCTAATATAATCTAATAATAATTTCATTACGTCTTTCTGAAATCATATAGCAATGATTTCAGAAAGACGTAATGTTATATTAAAATTTGTATTATTATTGTAAACGTTGGATTTTATTACTCTAAATTTTCTCTTATTTGTTGAGCTCTAAAAATATGTTTTGGAAATAAAGTGTAAAATATGCTTAAGTATTGAAGTACATAATAGTAAATAGGTACTTTATTGAAAAGCATATTATGTAAAGCCAGAAACTCAAAAATGTGCACTTAAAACTAAAATGAATCCTCCACCTCCTATGTGATTTTCAATTGTAAATTAAATATTATTTATCTATATATATATAAAGGTAAAAATGATTGATGTATCAACGCACAGGCCAAACCCTTAGGCCTAGAAATTTAAAATTTTGCATGCACTAAGGAAGGATTTTTCAAAATTCAACCCCAAGGGGGTTAAAAGGAAATAAAAGTTTGTATGAAACTTTTTATTCTTTGGACATATTTGCATGAAATTTCGTATGAATTGATTATGGTAAAAATATTCTTATGAAACCCACTTTTTAGAGATTTTTTGTAGTTTTAGCGCGAGCGAAGCCGCGGCTTCTGCTAGTTATCAATATTTATTCTAAATGTTGAGCTACCCAAAAAAATCCAAGCGGTACTTTCATTGGATTTACAAAGTTTACATCAATTATTACAATTGAATGTAGTATATCTATAGCTAATAGCTTAAGTATAAGCACTTATCTGAAGATTACACTACTAATCTTTACTTAGCAAAACACTAAGCTCGTCATAAGACAAGTTGTATGAATTGGTTACATTTTTATACATATTAAGAACATACATAAGTACTTATTTAAGAACATAATATGTGTAACAATAACTGAGTTATCAAATGTTCAAAGCAAAAAAATTGAGGCATAACAATGAATTTTACAATTTCTTTAAAAATGAGTTCTTCCACAGTCCACTGACCTCATTTTATCGGTAGATCAAATAAACCAAACTTATTTTTAACTCTAAACTGCAACAGCACTGAAGAAATTGGTCTCAGATTCGATTGTAAAAACACAATTGTACAGTACATTTTTAGTAAAAGTTCAAAAAGATTTGAATATGAAATCCTCTGATCTCTATATACTAATATTATAATGCTACAGAGTTTGCTTGTTTTTCTGTTTGTTTGCTCCTAAATAAGCTATATAAGAATATTATATTTTTCAATTGTTCTCATTAGAACTTTCATTATTTCTCAATTCTTTTGCTAACGTCTTCAAAGCGTGCCAGTTGAGCAATAGATTACTTTGCCAAAGTCACGTACAATGGAGGAGACATGAAGGAGATTTGTCAGTAAAAAAAAAATTTATTATTTTTTATTATTATTAATGATTTCTAAGAACTTTTGTACATTATGTGACCACTTGATTCCAGGACGATGTTTGTTACGTCGTAGCCAAATATGACTACGCGGCCCAGGGTGCCCAAGAGTTGGATCTGCGGAAGAACGAACGCTATCTACTGTTAGACGACTCCAAGCACTGGTGGCGCGTGCAGAATGCGCGCTCCCAGTCTGGCTACGTGCCCAGTAATTATGTCAAGAAGGAGAAACCTTCGTTGTTTGACAGGTGAGTGATATATCCGAAACACGTATGTATATATATACGTTTAATTATGTTAATCAACGAGTCTTACTAACGATGTATGTATGTAGTCGTCCAATAATCGTCACTACAACACATCACCTTATTAATCACTAGCATTGCCCGCGGCTCCGCCCGCGTTCAGATGACCAAAAACCAAATTCTTAGGTTTTACATAATAGTATACTCTTACATTGCAGTTTTTGTATTTTTTCTCAGAAATGAGACATTTTTCCGCGGTAAAAAGTATCTTATATGTTAACCCGGATAACCAGCTATCACCATACCAAGTTTTATCAAAATCCCTCCAGTGGTTTTTCTGTGATGCGGTAACAGACAGACAGACAAAAATTCTAAAAACTATAGATTCGGCCTCTGTATCGATAATAATGTCTATTTCAATTAGATTTTCCAAAAAATATTTAATGTACAGATTCGGCTTAGTTAGAATTTTATTATAAATGTATAGATTAATTATTCGAAGTGGTAAAGTTTAGTTTAAATAAAAGGGCAGGTAGGACAAGTAAGTAAGCTTCATTGGACATTTTTTGTATGGAACTGGGAGTTGCTTTTGAGTTCTATGTACGTGCAATGTATTGCAAACTTTATGTATACATTGATGTCGCGTTCAAACCACCCTGGTGTCTGTTCTAACATACCCTCTACCTCCCCCCCTCCCCCCTGTCCCGATGCGTGACAGCTGCAATGGCGTTTAAAGTCTGGTATATGTAAAATACACGTGTATATTGTATGTAGTCTATAGTGACATGTGATATGTTAACATTAATTCGAAATACGCTGGACGTTATTGTATTTACATATTATGTATCGAACTTGTCCACAGAAGTTTTAGAAAATGAAAATATATGTCACATATGATATTTTTCTATCTTAAATAAAAATGAAATGCTGTTCATTGGTGTATCACTTGCTTTTTTTTTCAAGGCTAAGTTTTAGATTAAGTTGTTTAAGACTAAGTCCTAATGATAGGTTTTCTATCAAGATTCAAGACGTACTATTACATTGAATCTAGACATGTATAGGGAATATATTATAGTGCAAAAGTATGACAAGATGAAGTATTCTTAATTTATTTAATTTTTATTGTGTTGGTTACGCAAGTTGACTCGATCAGATTGAGACGACTTTGGTGTAACACTACCAAGTACCAATTTCTGACTCTTCCTGACATTATCTAGACAGATAAACTAAATTGCCACATTACCCTGACATGGTGACTCGAACCCAAAACCTCACGATTAGCTGCAATACAAGTTAGCCGCTAGACTAGAGTGCAATGAACGACATTGACCGTGCTTCATTAGTCGGACAGGTGTATGTATGTATGTATGTCAATACGTCCGTGACACCTGTTCATGTTCATGCGTGCAAGCGCACGCCAATATTTAATCTACGTCACTCGCCTAACACAACCCGAGCGAGATAAATATACAACGTCATAATGGTAACAAAGCGAGTTATTCATAGCTCGGGCTTCTGGAAGTGACGTCAGCGATGTACCTGTTACAGTCATGTGTTCGTGTTGTTTTATATTGAATTACTTATTACTCTTATAAATGTGAAAGTTTGTATGTGAGTGTGTATGTTTGTTACTTTTGCGCTGAAACGGATCGACGGATTTGAATAAAATTTATCATATGTATATGGCATATAGCGATGCACTCAAGCAAAGTAGAGGGTGAGTCGTTAGTAATAAGTAAAAAAAAAACAACGATTGACTTATGATTACTCAAATTGTCCTATGAAAAATATTGTTAGGTTTTATCTATACCTGCATATAATAAAAGTGTAACTGATCACTGTCTGTACGTAAATGGAAGATATTATGGAGAGTATTTACTAACGCAATAGAACCCAAAACAATGATTTTTAGAATTATTGCCTGTATATCTGTGCGCGCTAATATAAGAAACGGCTTAACCGATTTGCTTGCGGGTATCACTAATGTATTTTTGTAAGCTTCACTTAACTTTTAGTGTTTGTTTTATTTCAATCGGTTTATAAATAAAAGAATTATGTCAATTTAAAGAATCACCTAGGGACGAACACGAGCCAAACGAGGGTGGGTTGCTAGATATAAATATAAGATAGTTGAAAAGGCATATTATTAATTAAAAAATAAGAAATTAAATATTTAAAAAATTTTTTATTGCGTACGAGTATCTCTCAAATGAAGTAATTGCCATATTGTTTTGTTTGAAAGTGTTTAATTATAATTGGCGTAAGAAACATTGCGTACACAGCAACCGCATGAGTAAGTTTTATGTTCAACGATTGTTAGACAAAAAAGGAAGGAAATACAGCAATATTATTAAAAATATCTAAAAATGTTTATAGTTTGATACAAAGTGCATGTCATTTTGTTCAATTTCAACGATATTTATATTAATTTACAATCCATGGGGAACATAAGATCACCATAAAAAAACATGCCCATTTGCGCTGCCTAATTCGACCTAGCAGATGTTAGAGTGCCCAAGGAGAAGTTGCAAAATTACTATAAGAACATTGTGAAATTACGCCTACATAAAAAAGTAACCTTTAAATATCTAAGCCATTATAACAGATAACCTCAATGATTACTTTGAGATAGAAAGGTGATGTTGGTTAGTTTTTATCTAATTAACATACATTTAAGTGATATAAAAGCGTAAAGCTCTTTCACCACCAAAGTCGTTAGGACGAGAATTCGACAAAACCTACTGATCTTCAGCCGTACATTCTTACATTCAGCCTCTAGAATTTAGATCGATGAGGCATTTTACGGTCGGCCGCATGTTAAAAGACTTTCTGTCAGAAAATTTCTGATGCCCGCCGAAAGGCACTCTGCTCATATGTTTTGGTCTAGATCCCGGATACTATCCGAATTCTGACGAGTCTGACGTCCGCTTCTGATGAATCCCGGATGCGGCCGATCGGACGTCAGAATTTTTCTGATCAAAACGTCGGAGGTCGGGCATTCTGTAAATTTTGTACTAGACTCCGAACACACTTCTTACACTCAGAAATTCGCATCAGTTGTCGAGCAGACGCTGAAAAATAAACTCAAAGTCGGACTCGCTGGAGCCAATATATGTATATATGGATTTCTGATAGGTGTGCGGGGTGATACCGGCGAATGTCAGAAATTTTCTGACAGAAAAAATATTATAATATGCGCGGCCGGCCTAAATATAGTTTATCAATACTTTTATTTCTTTCACTAAAACTATAATATATTACTAATTGTTACCCGCAAATTCGTATGCGCGAGTTTGTCATATTATTTTCCTAAGTACACTTGTACACAATTTCAGTTTTACCCTATTCCATTAATAAGTTTTATCTATAATAGTTCTAACGTATCTAGATATCGATAGATCTCCAGAATCTAGACTCTGGGCTAGTTATTTAAATAAGAAGCTTAGGTAGGATAGGTGAGTAGGATAACAATATAATTGAATCGTCAACCGTGCACGTGACATTCACAATTGTGTACACGTGCAATTCTGGTGTCAATAGGGATTGCGAGGGATCCTCGTTGTGTATTCTTAAGAACTTTATTAATATGGATGTATTTATTTATTGGTCTGTCCTTCTTTTACACAGCAATAGATGCTCTAGCTTGACATTTTTTGTACATAAGTAGATTATAGAATTTTTTTATCCTGGATAGAATATTTTTTTAACTTCAGTAGTTTTGTGTTACTCTGTGGAGTTTTTGTACACGACGCAATATTTATGGATATCATCTTTATATTTCTTTATCTAAGCTCTAAAGTAATTCAGGCCAAAAAATTTTTTTATTTAAATTGAAGATGTCCCTATAGTGAGAATCAGCAAATATATCACCTCCGTGATTAATTGATTGACGATATATTTTTAAACTTTAACCAAAAATAAAATATGTCTGAATGAATTATTATTACTCAAAATTTTATTTTACCAACGATGAAATTTTTACAAAAAGCTGAACCAAGAAATTGTGCTTACATTGTATATTTGTCAAATATGAGGATCGAACTCCCAACATCCAAAATCCGCAAAGGTTATTTTCATCATTCATGACCACTGATCTAAAACGCCCTGTAATAAATTAAAATAAAATAATTTATGCGAATATTCAATGAGATTTGATATATATCTTTTCTGTTGTCAATCGTGTTTGTCACGTTGCGTCGCGTCGTAGAAATAATAAACGTTTTATCTCCGCTGGACTCTGCTTCTAAAGTAGGTCACCTCAAAACTGCTCATTGTGGTGACTCCAACGTTGTTTGTTCTACTGTCGCCATACTGACTTCTGAGGCTTGTAAATGAAATATTAGCTGTTTGTAATTTTTCTTAATGAATCTCGGTTGAACACAAAATAACCAACAGTTCTTAATATTATAAAGTGTTAATCGAGTTGTTTCAAGGAGCTTTGACTGCCTTTTTTATTATAATCAAAATAAAATTCTAAATAAGTCCAGTAGAAAGGCTTCCTTTAGCTGTACCTATAGAGATACTAGCAACACACCCACGCTTTGTTCGGTTTCGTCCCTAGGTTGATTCCCCGTACAAAGTTTCATCCCCATTTTCACCCCCTTATGGGATGCTATGAATTAATTTTTTTATGTTATATTCTTGTTTATCTACACAGGTAAATCTTGCGAAAGTTTTTATATCATATAAATTGTGTAATGTAATAAATGTTGGAATTGATTTAATTTAAAGTTTATTTTCTTCTTTTTAGAGCATGTAAAGAAAAGCTTGTTTTTAAAAATATTTTTTTACAATTCATTTAGTTTTTATTTTATTCGTATTCTTCTCTGCAAACCCTATCATATGATGTCATGGGGGTGCGTAAAAAAATGCTTGTCCGCCATCTTTACGAGTCCGCCATATTGGATTTAGAGTGACGTCACTTTATTTTTCGAGTTATTATCAGCAAGCCCTTTCATTTGATACCTATATTGTAGGAGTGCATTAAAAATAACTGGTTCGACATCTTGGGTGCTCCGCCATGTTGGACTTAGAATGACGTCATACGGCTAGCCATGCATTGTCATCCAAACTAAACGTGTATACAAAATTTCAGCTCAATCGGTTGAAGATATCTGCTTCAAAATTGAGTTGCAAGATTCCACCCTGACAAACATAAAAGAAAAGCTCGTAAAAAATTCAAAAATGGCATCAAACCTTAAAATATTTGTACCTTTAAATATTTGTTAAGTTTGTACGTTTTTTATATTTTTAATAAGTTTTATATTGGAATATTGCAAAATCCGGAAAAATGGTTTGATTATTTTACAGTTTACCAATGTAACCGCCGTTCGCATCCTCATAATAAGTCAATAAATCGTTCAATTCAAATATTTATTTCCTCTTGTTTCCACTTTCCAGTATCAAAAAGAAAGTGAAAAAGGGTTCCGGATCCAAAACCCTGCCGTCGAACAGCTCGCCGGTGCGCGGCGCGGGCCCGGAGTCGCCGGGCGCGCGCCGCGTGGAGCCCACGGAGGCGCTGGGCACCGCCGTGGTCAAGTACAACTACCAGGCGCAGCAGCCCGACGAGCTCTCCCTCACCAAGGGCACCCGCATACTCATACTGGAGAAGAGCAACGACGGCTGGTGGCGGGGACAGTACCAGGGGCATACGGGGTGGTACGTTATATGTATATTAGCGTTTTACCTAGACTTGTTCTGTTATGTATTATTATACCTTTAAAAATTATAGCTATATATGTTATATTGCTGTAAAGTCCAGTGATAGCATACTTACTTGAGAAACCGTGTGAAGTGCCGCGTGGAACCGCCTGAACCGATTTGGAATTTTTTTTTCAAAGTGTATACCTCCCAGGTGGTCCCATATAAATTTTATCGAAATCGGTCGAGTGGTTTTTTAAAAAATCGAAAATATATATATTTTTTTCAATAAATTGTTAAATCGAATATATCTGATTAGGTATCTATTCTAAATGAAAACCTCCGTTTAGTTATTTTTTACATTTTAGTGCCTGGCGGATTTTTTTAAGTTTTTATCCTACATGCATGTCTGAGAGAACTTAGCTAGTTTTCGAAATGTGAAGTCCACCAACCCGTACTTGGCCTGAGGCCCCCCTCTAATGCCCAGCAGTGACATTAGAGTGGGGCCTCTTTAAAAAATGCTGAATACATTCTTATTTTAATGTTAATTTATTTAAATGTGCAATAGATATATGCACGATATGTATATTTCATTTATATACCTACAATAAACGTATTTTTCCTTCATACTTCAGGTTTCCATCGAATTACACGAGCGAAGAAGGCGATAGTGAAGACACTGTTCACACATATGCTATGGCTGAAAATGTTTTAGATATTGTTGTGAGTATACTTTACATAAGCGTAGTGGCCATTTAAATTACAAAAAAAATATCTTTTTGTCAAAATGAAATTTTAATAGTTTTTAGAAAGGACAGGAAGGAAGAGGTACTCTATTCGATTATGTGCATACGATACCAGATTTATTTGTCTTTTTCGCTATAATGTATCAAAGGGGCCTCCATATAAACAAGAATACTTTGTACTGATTTTGAAATCGGTAAGATTTTTCCATAAAAAGTAATTATAATATGACTTATTGGGATTTTTAGTCGTACCAACTAATTAAACTATTAAAGAAATAGTCTTTGCATAAAGGTATAAGTACCTAGGCGACCGAGCTTCGCTCTGAGTTTTTGGCCGCAAGTACAACTTTCTTTTTTTTAACTAAAAACTTGAATAAATACAAAAAAAAAAGGATTCGAACCCAGACACCCGTGGTTGTCATTCTTGCGCCTTAACCGCTTCACCACTATACTTAAATTAGCGACCATATTTACGTGTAATATTTCGCAAGAAAACCGATTTTTCGCCCCCGAAAACCCCCACATACCAAATTTGAGCGAAATCGTTAGAGCCGTTTCAGAGATCGCCAGTATAAATATACAAGAGTTGTTCGTTTAAAGGTATTTGATAGATATGGTCCAACGTACTACCAAGTACTCTTAGCATTGTATTATTCTTTACCTCTATATGTTATAAAAAAGGAAATGAGGGCATGTCCCGTTTTTAAATGGTAGATTCCTCACGGACTGGCTACACTGATATTTAATTTAAATTTAAAATGTAAAAATGACGATTCAAAAGTGCTTGTGAAAGTCTTATTTGAATAAAATATATTTTGATTTTATTTGCAGTAAAACTTCTTTGGCGCTATGGTAAATACCGCAATTAAATTAAAACAAATCGGAACATCAATAAATATGTATAATAATTGATATAAAATTATTAATAATAAATATATATATTATTAATAATTTATATTAATAATAAATATATATATATATATATATATATATATATATATATATATATAGATAAATAAAATTAAAGTGTTTGTTTGTTATGTCAAAATAATAGCGTTTTACTAAATGCATATGAAATTATATGCGGTACTTATAAGAAAAATATATTTTTTTATCTGTGTTTCTGTTTCTTTGTTCCGGATAATCTCTGAAACGGCTGGACTGATTTTGACGGGTCTTTCATTGGAAGGTAGCTGATTGGGAGTAACATAGGCTACTTTTAATTTAGAAAAAGAATTAGAGTTCCGTTTAAAAAAAAATAATTAAAACGTACCTCGTAAACGTACATACGTAACGTTAGTTTATAATAAATTTGACTCTCATTTTCGTGAAGCTCATTTTTCTTATGTATACACTCACCCCTCAGTCACGCCTAAAGAAGTTTTATTTAAAAAAAAATACAAATAGTAATTTACATAGGAAAACTCTGCATTTAAGTTGTAAGAAATAAAAGCTTATTTATTACGTTACAAGCAGAACCCGCGGATTCACTCGCGTTCAATTTACAAAAATTTTTTTTGCTTAATAGCGAAGCGAGGGTGTATCGCTAAATAACAATATCTCATCCTTGCTTCGTTCGGGTTTGTCTCTATGTATTTATATATTATTAATTTACTTGGGTATCGTTTATGCAAAAATACAAAAATACGAGTGTGTGTGTGTGTGTCTGCAGGTGGCGCTGTACTCGTTCACGTCGAACAACGAGCAGGAGCTGTCGTTCGAGAAGGGCGACCGGCTGGAGATCGTGGAGCGCCCGCCGAGCGACCCCGAGTGGCTGCGCGCGCGCGACTCGCGCGGCGCCGTCGGCCTCGTGCCGCGCAACTACCTGCAGGAGCTGGCCGACTACCTCGCGCAGCCCTACAGGTATGTCTCAGCGCCTGGGCCACCGAGCGAAGCGAAGGAGTTTTTGGTCGAATGTACAATTTTCTTTTAAAAAACCCATTAATCTTGAATAAATACAAAAAAAAACAAAAATAAATTATACCTTTGTATCTGACCGGGATTCCAACCCGGACAGATATTCAATTTTGCGCCTTGGTCGCTTAACCATGATGCTTATGTCCGAGCGTGTGAAATTATCGAACATAATATTTTGCGTGGAATAATGCAAAAGAAAACTGTATAAAAATTCGAAAACAAGCCTTTTCCCGGACATAAGACTAATCTAGATCGATTTATCGCTAACGAAACCCCCTGTATACTAAATTTCATGAAAATCGTTGAAGCCGTTTCCGAGATTCAGATTATATATGTATATACATACACAGTACACTTGTGCCAATAACTCTCTCCCGTTCCAGCGAGGCGGGCGAGGGCGGCGGCGCGGGCGCGGGCGGCGCGGGGGCGGGCGGGGCGGGGGCGGGGGCGCGCGGCGCGGCGGGGCGCGCGTGGTACTACGGCGCCATCTCGCGCACGCACTGCGACGCGCTGCTCAACCAGCACGGACACGACGGCGACTTCCTCATACGCGACTCCGAGACCAACGTCAGTGCACACGCACACATGCACGCGCACACACACACACACACATACACACACACACGTGACACACACACGTGACACACACACACGTGCCACACAAACACGTGCCACACGTGACACACACACACATGTGACACACGCACACGTGACACACACACACACGTGACACACGTGACACATGTGACAAACACACACGTGACACACACACACACGTGACACACGCACACGTGACACACACGTGACACGTGACACATGTGACAAACACACACGTGACACACACACACACATGTGACACACACACACGTGGCACACACACACGCACACACGTGACACACGCACACACGTGACACACGTGACACACACACACACACGTGATCACATGACACACACACACACACGTGACACACACACACACACACACACACACGTGACACACACACACACATACGTGACACACACACTCGTGACACACACGCACACACTCGTGACACAAACACACGTAACACACGTGACACACACACACACACGTGACACACACACACACACGTGACACACACACTCGTGACACACACGCACACACTCGTGACACAAACACACATAACACACGTGACACACACACACACACACACGTGACACACACACACACACGTGACAACCACACACGTGACACACACACGTGACACACACACGTGACACACACACACATACGTGACGCACGTGACACACACACACACACGTGACAACCACACACGTGACACACACACACACATACGTGACGCACGTGACACACGCTCTTTGTATTTACTTTACTATAAACTCATATTTGTATGGTTTTTTTTTGAGGATGTGTATCTACGCATGTAACGTATGCAGCAGGTGATTGTGTGGAACTTACTAAGTAGAAAAGATAGTGCTAATCGTTGTAACATTAGTATACCTTCCCCGTCTCGATTAAACGACGGTGATTGACGATACCAAAAATAAAGGTGAACAGTGCAAACTGTGCCATAGGTATTACTGCACATAACACAGTTTATATTGCTTAATTTGTCTATACTTTTTAGGGTTCCATATTTCAAAAGAAAATAGAAACCATTTTTGAATCACTACGTCGTCCGTCTGTATGTCTGTCTGTCTGTCGAGATCCCTTTACATATGAAGTGTGAAGAGATGAAACTTCCGAGTCGACGGAATCTAAAGTCAAATCTAAAATAAGTTTTTTTGCAATTATAAAGTAATTGGAACGCGGTGTCCGTCCCGTGGCAGGTGGGCGACTTCTCGGTGTCGCTGAAGGCGCCGGGCCGCAACAAGCACTTCCGCGTGCAGGTGGAGGGCGCGCTGTACTGCATCGGCCAGCGCAAGTTCCCGGCGCTGGAGCAGCTGGTGGCGCACTACCAGCGCGCGCCCATCTACACCAACAAGCAGGGCGAGAAGCTCTACCTCGTGCGCCCGCTGCCGCGCGCGCCGCCGCCCTGCTGAGCGCACAAGTAGAGCGCGGACATTCGACAGTTTTTTTTTTAATTTTATACAATTTGGCGAATCGGTTTTTTTTTTTGTAACACGACATTGTTGTCTGGATGTGTTGAGTTGTATCTTTGCAGTTGGGTACGAGCTGGGCCTAACGGATCGACCGTATATCGGGGCCGATTATTATTATAATTTATATAAAATGTAATTAATAAATACATACTCAGTATTTCAAAATAATATCTCATACGGAGGCGATGTATCCTATCCATTCCATACGGCAATACAAAATATGATACAGTTATAGTAGTCCACACGTTCCGCATCGAAAGCTATAATTTTAAAAAAACGACGTAATCTATCTTTAAGTAAACTATCGTAACCAACGACAATTACATCTAATTGGATTTAGGCAAAATTATAATTTATATATAATAATTAGCGGTGGACAACGCACATGTAGGTTTTGATCGGGAGTTGAAATTGTAGTGCGATGCTCTATTGTGAAGGACAGGGGCGTAGTAGTATTTATATATGTACAAATATGATCGTAGTTTCTAATGTACTGAAGCAGTATATCGATGTAACTCGACCCAACATGGCGCCTAATGGACTGTATAACATACGAGCGTTATTATAGTTAAACTTACAGGAATACTGCTATAATTGTGAATAAATGTACCCGTTGCTGTCGGTAAGAATGTTTAGGTAAAGATTAATAAATAAAGATGGATAATTGTGTAAAATAAAAGGAATATACGGTTAAATGGGTGCGTATATTCACAGTCGAGCTCGCGTCTATCCGAGCGCTGCCACGAAACAGTTAACATGTAACTTAGTATAATGTAATAAAAGTAATAATAACGAAGGAACTAAACCAAAAACAAGCTTCGACAATTATTATATGATATTTAATGTAAGATCGATTTCTATATATTATTTGATAAGGATTTATGTTAGTGTAATTTTGAAATGATTTTTTTATAGGTAATACGTTTGTGTAACGTAGCAAGAGCGCCGCGCCGCCCTACCGCGAGGCGGGGCGGGGGCGGGGCGGGGCGGGGGCGGGCGGCGCGACGCTCGGTAGATGCTTTTGTGACGCGCCGTGTCCGACCGGCGCTGGTTTTTACAACCGGAAACGAAACGGAATTTTAGTTTTTTTTTTAATTTTTGGCCGAAACCGAAAGTGCCCCGTTTTAGACAAATTATTAAAAAAAATATATAGCGTAGTCGCTTTAAACGACTGCCTGTTTTTTTTCGTATGGGATGTGGTAAACTATCCGCTAGACCGATACTACGAAGGTAGATCGATCAGGCGCAGGTCCGGTCGGACGCGAGTGCAGAATACACATACAGTACACGTCTGTATGTAACTACGCTACTTGTGATGTTTGGTTAAGAAGTTATTGTAAGTCACTCGGGAACGACGCGGTTTTGATACGGGGATTTTTTTCTATAGTAAATCATAAGAAATAGCATTTATACCTAATTTCATAGTTACACTGTAAATTTTCCATTAAACACATATTGTACCAGGTGACGTATGCTATGTATATATTCTGTGTCGAATCGTTTCGGTGCGTATACATGTGTGTAGTTGGTCCCCAAATATTCCAGTGTTTTGTTGATTTGCAATGTGCTTAAGCAGAAGAGAGTGACCCGTACGGTGAGCGCGGCGCGCGCCCCGCGGCTGACGCACTCGATATTATAGTATCGTCCAAAATGTAAATAAAATATAAGAAATATTCATATATATATATTACGTTTTTTGATCGACGAGTCAATAGCAAATGTTAGTTGTAAAAAAATATTTATTAAAATGAAATGTTCCGAACAGTGTGTGTCAGTGTGTCGGTGGCGCGCGTCGAGGCGTGGAATCTCATGGAATGGACGCGAGTGTCGCTAGTCAGCCCCCCCTTCCCCTCACCTTCCCTCGACCCCCCCCCCCTCCGCCATGCGCTAAATACATATTAAAAATTGTATATTTTTATTTTATATATTGACATTAGCAATTAATTTCGACTGTAAAATTTCTGCATATTTTTATAATTTAAGAAATAATTTGGCAGCTCGCGGGTTGTTTCATTTGTTTACTCTTAGAGATTATTATCCTTTTTTATTAACTGACTAATGGAGAAGTTTCCAATTTTTTTTGTTTAAATTATAAAAAAATAAGTAAAACATAACAACAATATGAAAGAATTATTAAAATATCTCAACAAATGAACAAGTTATGAAACTTCAAAGTTGCGCTTGTAAGAATAGCTTCGTGACGTCACGACTTGAACGACTGAAGTTTAAATTAATTTCTTAGTCATTTATTGATAGATTAAAAAAAAACCTGATCTATTATGATCTATATTATACATAATTCCATATGTTTCAAGTTAAATTTCTCCATTCTAACACTTTCAGTATTGTATTAGTTTTATTATAATACATCTATTTATAGCGGCCGGGGAAGTACCTAGGTTGTGTTCTCGCGCGCATCTTTCCGTTCGTGACTCGCCCCCTGTGTCGTCTGTTTGCCTTCATCGTGTCTCACTCATTGTCCAAGAAGTCCGACCGACGCCATTACGAGAATATTGAGATTATTTTGGAATATTTATTTTTGTATGCATTTTTTATTTTTTTTTAATCACCAAACAGCGATCACACCAAGTGTAGGATTTTTGTATGCAATATGATAAGATTTAACCGTACGTGTACGGCGACAGCGGTACAGCGGGTACAGCTGGTCGAGGACCCTGCGATATATGCATTTATTTATATGTTTTGATTTTATATTTTTTGTACGTTCATTTTGTAAACGTGCTCGACTCGACGCGGAGCAGCTCTCATGTGATACTTTGGAGACGAGACCGCGCGCGTGCGAGCGGTCCGTCACGTCGCGCGCCGCCATGTTGACTTTTTGATGTATTTAATACATTTTATACTCGATATTGTAATTAGTGTTTAAAGCTGAACGATCCCGTACGATAGATATTTATTAGGAACGGATAGTCGTATAGGAATATATCGGGCCGAAGTCACTCTTCCGAACACAGCTCTGTAACGAGTCTTCCCGTATGGACGCATACAACCGGTCGACGCTGCATTGTGCGTGGATGAGACGATTATCGTTTATAAATAATAATTATAGTGTAAATTGAATTTTATTTTTGAGTGCGTGTGTATTTTTCGTCTCAAGTCTGATTTGCCGATTCCGTTGTATGGCATAGCTTTGTAAGGGAACGCCAATGTACATACCTACGCTGTTCTGTCATACGAGCGAGTGTTCCTACAGATCCGCTCGCTTCATACAACCGCGCAACTTCACCTACACTAACTACTACATGTCGGGGCCGTACACGTAGAGAATAAACTGAGTAACACTCATGACAATGACCACTCTCTAGAAAGAGAGAAAGCGACCGTGCGGCCAATACCTGTCTTTTATTCTAATATGAATTTATAAATGGAATGTAAAAAATATTATAATGATATTAAAAATTATAATATTATAATGGATTATAAAACGGTTATGAACATCTATCTTCATTAATCGTATTTCAATTAATACAGAAGACTTCTGGCCGCACATTCGTTTTGTCTCTGTCGCGCCTTTCCGCCATTTTCAAACGACGGCTGGCAAAGAAACAGTCAAGTCTCCAGGTTAAGAGTACATGTCGGCGCGGTGTGTGTGTGACATCTGACCGACGAGTTGACATACACGTAGTGTAGCTGTGGTTGTGTAGTTGTATGGGGCTCAGTCTCCGTACTCGGTACTCCGCAGGGACACTCGGCCGGCGGCGGCAGGCGTAGGGCATAGAGTGATTCGGTTTTTATTTTTATATTGCTCAAAGTATGTAGCCATGCCATGGATTTAATTTGTATGTAAAACCATGCGTTTGTAAGTTTTTCACATTATGATACCATGTAAGTGCAAGATATTAACCATTATAATTTATTTATTATAATTTGCACACTGTGTTTTCTTTTTACACCTCAAATATAAAAACCCAAAATGAAATTTTCTTTATTGTAATCTAGATATAACTAAATTGAAGTCCGAATGAGAATGAAGTTGAAGTCACTAGTCGCTACGTTTTCATTGAGAATTACCGATAACGAAATATCTATTATTGCGAAATAATAAATAATAAATTTAAAATATAAGCATTGTTTTATTTTAACAAAGAAATAAAAGAAATTGATGATATAATATTATTAGGTAAATATATAGTCCGTTCACACGCACTTGGCCAGCGTGGTGGACTATGGCCTAATCCCGCTTCTATTAAAGGAAAGCCCGCGCCCAGCAGTGGGACGTTAAAAAGGGCTGAATACAATACAAAAATACAAATACATAATATTAAGTAATTAATTATTATTACTTAGGCCCCTTCCTGACTTAGCGGTGCGGTATCTGTATTCGGTATTCTCTACGTTGCCGAGAGCTTACTGATGTCGGCCAGGATCTCTTCACTTATCGCTATACTTTCGGTGTAAAACAATTGAATATTGCAGAAATTTGGAAAAATGTTGGAATTTTACGCTCGATCAACGGTTTAACTTACTGCCCGTATTACGACGCAATAGCCGCACGTTTCGTTCAAATAAAGGCGGTCGATAAACAATCGATAAGAAGTTTACCGAGCGTACTTTACTGCACCGACACAGCACCGCCAAGTCGGGAAGGGGTTTTAGTCCACTAGTCTATGGTAAGTAAATAAAATATGGCCATTGGTCAGGTGGTGACCATATTTGATTAGGTAACCAACTGCGATAAATTTATATTTAAATAGGTATGGTATAGTATGCACATATAACTTCGTGTAAATGTTGCTAGTAGTGAAGGCACCCCATTCCATCCCATTGAGACGTCCCATATAGTATAGAAATGTGATTGATGGCGGTCATCTACAAAGTTGAAACTATTTCCTTTTATATGTTACTAGCGACTCGCCCTCGCTCCGCTCGGGTTCGTCCCTGGGGTGGGGTCTGGGAGGACCACCCTTATCCTTATCACTTAGGGGTATGGAAAATAGATAGTAGCCGATTCTCAGACCTACTGAATACGCATATAAAATTTGGTAAAATCGGTAAAGCCGTTTCGGAGGAGTACGGTAACTAACATTGTGACATGGAAATTTTATATATTAGATGGTTAAAATATGAAAATAAATATTTTACATTTAATAAAACAAATTTCATTGACATGGTGAGTTTTTCACCAGTATTAATCAACTCATGAAATATAATCAGCAATCTACGAATAAGTATGTAATTACTGAATGGCTGATTATTTATTATTCAAACATCAGTAAATTTTTATACTCAATGGTCTAGCAAAGCAAAGAAAACATTATTTTCATTTCCGTTACTTAGAATATTGCTTAAATAACTAACGTTATAGAGTCACCTCTCGGTCTTTTCCAGGCGAAATATATTTTTTAAAGCTAAAAACATTAACACATACATAGATAGGGATCTAGTACAGATGTCTCATATCATACAAAGAAATTGGACAGCGCTAATTCGGGCTATTTTTGTTTGCTTGTTGATTCAAGATAATAGATGTTAATTCGCAAGTACCTATTTCAATTTTAAAAATATATGCAAATTAACGTATGATAAATATTTTAAAATTCATCCTGTATTCGAATTTCGAATTAAAAAAGTGATTTTAACCGTGATAAACAATTCATAAACGGTAAAAGCGCCATCTGTGAATATACACTACAAAGGGTTGACGAGTGGTCGTCCCATTGGAGAGGGTGAAAAAAAATATGGATAATGCACTGCTTTTACATAATACGTGCGCACTAGTGCTTATCTTTCGCTTTTATTAAATATATATTTAGCCTCCATGTAAACGGCCACTGTGGCCGATAGCGGTACGGATAGTTTAAGAATGTCACAATTCTATTGAGATGTTAAAGTAGATTTTTACTACAATATCACATCCTTTCAGATTTTGTCAATCAAATCAAAATATACTATATTCAAATAGAATTTTACAAGCACTTTTGAATCGTCAATTTTACATTTTAATTAAATGTCAGTGTAGTCAGTCCGTGAGGAATCTACCACCGGCTCGGAAGGCAGTTCTGCTGAGAAGAACCGGCGAAAAACTTGTTGGTCTTTTAAAATAATATTTGTGTACAATATTGTAGTACAATAATTATCTATTTATCCTACGTGAGACCCAACCAGACATTAGTTCCACACGGACATCTAAAAAGTATTCCGTGACGGTGTAATAAGCTTTATTCAATAACAATTGTACGGAGACAGGATATATCTTTAGATGTGCGGTGCGATAATTAAAAAAAAACGTATAGATTTTATAAACATTTATTGAATAAATAATACAAAAATGTTTTCGAGTTGACATTTTGAAGAATTTCAAACAAACATGACCGGAGCAAAATGGCTACTTTAGATGTAACATCCAATTTGTATGATTCAAAACGATTACATCGAAAAATATGACGCTACGTCGAGTAGCGCGCGTACATAATATCAATACATGAAATTTATAATTTATAATAATATTTCTTCTTCTAGTGCTATTTTTAAATCTTAACAAAGTTTTAACTATAGCAGTAGCTATAATTGTTTATACATGGATTACATTATGTAGGGGATAAATGCCTGAAATGCGACAACGTCTGAATAAAATGCTCCGAGCGCGACCGTGACTCGTCCAAACGACCCGACACCAGTCGACCACCGACGGTGGGCACTCGCAAACTCCCCAAAAAAGGAAAACGCGCGAAACTGTTTCATTAAACACAAATTATACAAAAAAACCCAACGGTGGCTTCAATCGATTGGAACTCGGTCGCAGCGTTCGAACGAGTTAATACATACAAATAATCAACAAAATTTCATATTTCAAAACTTTATACAAACGCTATAAATTATCAAACGACTCGGTCAATTATGCGACTCGCCACTAAACATTAAATAAAAGCATATTGCGGAATCACCGGCGGCTCCCCCTAAGTACTAAAAACAATAACTTACTCTAAGAGGGTCAATTTATTTATACAAACCGTGGATTTGTTCAGACAAAAACCACAAATAATGTTGGCAATCGGAATCGCAAATTAATCGAGTGGAGGTTTCTAATCGATTTTAACTATTAATTAATTATGCTTTTAACACATCGATTTACGATTTCGATTTCCAAAGGCCGTATCGGAGGCAGAAACGTTGCCATAACTAACTATACAAGACAACTAGGCTTTCAACTAAGATAGTAGGATGAGGTCGCGCGGCGAAATTTCTACCTTATACATAAAACAATGATATTCGAACCCGTTCTCCGCGCGACCACACGCACGGATTCAGATCTGGTAATATTATAACTGTTTATCGACAAAAAGCGAATTCTTTTACACCAATATACAAACTACATGTTTAATATAAATAAATATGTACAAACTTATCGATTTAATATTCAAATTAAAGAGAGATTAAAGCGATAGAAACTCTGAACCGAAGTGTAATATTAATTCCACTTTTATATTAAAATGACAACGTAATTTATATTTTTAGTTTATTTTAGTTGGCAGAGTAAATTGATACCATTGATTTGATCTGATGCAATCAGAGGAAATGGTTGCCCCATCAGAGTACCACAACATCATATATAACATTTAATAAGTAAAATTAAGTTTTGCTACTTTACAAGATGAAATAATTTGGACAAACAATAATTTCATTACAATCTCGTGTGATGCTCGATATACAAACGGAATCTCCATTGAATTTAATAATAATTATACATGCAAATAATATCGAAATGCATAATAAAGAGTGACCTCACGGAGGTTTCTAAAAGCAAATTCCTAATAAATAAAATCATTACAATCAATTTTCTAATAGTTCCTCATCTCTTAATCATATTATAATTAAAAAAAAAACTAATACAAAAACATTTACAATTGACAACAAAACGCGAACAATCATAGCGCGATTCAAACATTCGATTATTATTTAAAAAAAAAAAACCAAAAACATGACGACCTACGAGACGTCACTCCCGCGACGCCACACGCTCAGTCCCCCGCCCGCGCGCGGGCCCCCCGCAGGCCCCCCGGCCCCTGAGCGGGCCCCCTCGCCGGAGCCCCTCGCTCACGAGGCGTACATGCGCTTGATGTCCACCTTGTAGCGCTCCTGTATGTCTTTCCGCTTGATCTTGAAGGCGGCGGTGACGAGCCCCATGTCGGGCGACCACACCTCCGTGCACAGCTTCACGGCCGCCGGCACCTCGAACTTTTCCAGACCGCCTGCAATTGTGTTACTCTTGATTGTTACTCTAATCTTTATAATTTATTATTAAAAAATAAGTATCATGAAAAAATAATTTGTAATTGTGCAACAGTTTGACAGAATTTTGTGAACAAAGTATAAGTAAGTAATAAAAAAATATTAACAAAATATAAATAAACATAATACTTTGTTGAATTTACAAGAATATTTGATATATTAAATATATATATACAAACTATTTTTCACACATTTTTTTATTTTTTAATATGGGATAGGGAATAAAAATGTTCATACTTGTTCAGCCATTAAAATGTCATAATAGAATTGCAAATAAATCCGAAACATAATCTTCAAATCAATCCCATACTAATATTATAAATGCGAAAGTAACTCTATATCTCTGTCCGTTACTACTGTGCTGAACCGATTTAGATGAAATTTGATGTAGAAATGGTTCGAGACCCCGGGAAGGACATGGGATAGTTTTTATCCCGGAACTCGTTGAACCAATTATTTCGTAAGTATAGGATATAAAACTCATCATACTTATGTACATACAATACACAGTCTATCTAATCCACACTAAGCGTGCGCCATAAAGGGAGGAGGAGGAGTACTGACACTTCCGGGCGTGGTCGGCGAGCTCCTTGAGCACGAGCTTCTCGACGGCGGGGTCGGCGCAGGTGTCGGCGAAGGGCCGCGGCGGGAGCCCGGCGCGCGCCGCCAGCGCGGCCAGCGGGCGCGGCGCCGGCACCACCAGCGCCACCGTGTAGTTGCGCGAGCTGTCGCCGTGCACGCAGATGTTCTCCACCAGCGGGCACGTCTTCAGCTCCGCCTCCACCTTGCCCAGCGACACGTACTCGCCCGCCTGCAGCTTCACCAGGTCCTTCTTGCGATCTACAGTATTGCAATCAATATACAACATGTCAATACATTATACATCATTTTATTTTACCATTTTGAATTGTTTACTTAATTTCTTCCCCTACACGTCCATTTATTGTATATTAAAAAAATATTTTTTTTCGACACATCATAGTTTTTTTTTATTTGAGTGAGTAACACCCACAAATACACGTCCATACCTATTTTTGAGCATTTTTATGTTTTGTTGTTATTTTTATTTAATTTGAGATGGGTACATCATAGTTTAACTCATTGGATCGGAAAGTGTATGAGCAACCAGGAGCTGAGAGGGGGGAGGGGGGTGTACCTATGATCTTGATGCAGCCGTCGGGATGCAGCTCTGCGATGTCTCCGGAGCGGAACCAGCGCCGGCCGCCCTCGTCGCTGAAGTCTGCGCGCGTCTTGTCGGCGGCGCGGTAGTAGCCCTCCGCCACGCACTCGCCGCCGATCACCACCTCGCCCTGCTCGCGACGACACACACCTCATTAGTATATAATGTTCTCGACCAATCTCACTAAATATATTTTTTATTTTTAGTCTTCATGGATAGTAGCAGTGTAAGAGAAACATATAGTAAGTATGGTACCTGTGGGTAGGGCTTGTTGTCGACTCTATAGTTGCCCTCTTCCCAGTTGACCAGCTTGATGTCGGTGCCGGTGGTGGGCGCGCCCACGCGACCCGTCGACCTGGAATATTGTAAATATACGTATTTAACACACAGTCATTATTGTTATTAATAACTAAAGAAAAATTTGTCTATCATATTGTAATCTTCCTACTATATAAATGCAAAAATTTGGATAGGTGAATGTTGGTTACTCAATCACGCTATAACGGCTCGGGAGATCCAAATAAAATTTGTAGTGATAGAATTTAGCCTGGAATAAGCTTTTTACTTTTTATTCCGAAAAAATGTACAGTTCCCGTGGGATAGGTTCATTTTTGTTTTTCACTAGGAATGAACTCTCGGTAAGAGTGAGAGTGAGTAAGTACCTGTCCATGGGGTGCATGACGGTGGCGCAGGAGGTGGTCTCGGTGAGGCCGTAGCCCGCCACCACGTCGCAGCACAGGCACAGGCGCACCTGCGCGTGCGTGTCGGGCGCCAGCGGCGCGCCGCCCGCGATCATGAGCCGCACGCGCCCGCCCAGCAGCTGCCGCACCTTCCTGAACACCTGCCGGAGGTCACTCTTCCGTGTTAGAAACCTCACTTTTATATTTACACACATTATTTGCATATTCGATTATTTTGAGAGTAATTACAAAGAATTATTAATGAAAACGATTAAATTATTATCTTATTGTTCTGTTGAGTTAAAACTCGCTAAAGTCGGTAGTACTGGCTTTTCCACCCGATGAGTTCCACATCTATACCTATACAGATAAATATAATTGAAGTGTCTGTTTGAATTATCAAAATAGCAGCATTTTACTAAATACATATGAAATTATATACCGTACTTATAAAAAAAACTCATTTTTTTTTTAATTTTTCTCTATCTGTCTGTCTGTTTGTTTCGGATAACCTCAGAAACGGCTGGACTGATTTTGACGGGACTTTCACTGGAAGATAGCTGACGTTATAACAAACAACGTTATAACATAGGTTACTTTTGTTTTAGAAAAAGAATTAGTGTTCTGCTCAAAAACATTATAACGTGAGTCGCTAATAACCTATATGATATATACAGGTCGTAATGCATCCCCCAATTTTAAAAAAGCCGGTGTACTCACGAGCAGGTCGAGCAGGGGCGTGTCGTACCCGCGCCGCGCCCAGCCCTGCTTGTAGGCGTAGGCCCACTTGAAGAAGGCGCCGGCCAGCGCGCCGCTGCGCGACACCTTGTCCGTGATGCCCTTGCTGATGCGGTCCATGATCAGCTGCGACACACATACACACATACACACGTGTACATACATAACACTATACATACCAGAAACAACTGTCACATTCTTTATATTTAAAATCTCTCTCTCTCTCTCTCTCTCTCTTGGGCAAACTGGCTACATTGTACATGGTAGACCTTATCTATGCCTTCGAGCTAAGATGAAGGTCAAGAGTAAACCCATTTCTGATTAAAAAACCAGTTTGCGTAAATTTATATTTCTTTTCCCCACAAACGGCTCGACGGAAATTGATATTTTTTTTCTGTATACTTATGCGATCATATAAATAATTTTTTACTATAGTTGAACCCAGTAGATGACTCACCCGAATTCGCTGAAGGTCTCATGTACATAAAGTTAAAACGAAACAAATTCCTATACAACACATCTCAATCCATCGATATGTAACTTTGATGCATAATTGCAAATTTCTAATGTCAGCCTTTAAGCTACTTACTCGTAGCTAACAGTGACAAAATGTAAATTTAAAAAGATAGTAAAACATGTACGTACAGGCACGGTGGTGATGCAGGTGGGCTGCAGGATGGTGGCGTCGCCCTTCGTGCCCTTCATGATCTTGCTGGAGGTGTCCAGCATCGTCAGCGGCGTGGAGTAGCCGATGGGCACGCCTGGCGAGACACATACGTCATACATCTTATAATACATCTATCTATATCTATATATATATTTAACTGCCTCGGTGGTGTAGTGGCTAGCATGTACGGCTGCACACCCGGAGGTCCTGGGTTCGAGTCCCGGGTCGGGCCAAGTTTAATTATTGAGTCTTCCTGTATAGTAAGTCTCAGTAACAGCCCGGAGTTGGGAAGTTGGCGGTGTTTCACCCCCGTGCCGAGGCAGAGCACGTAAAGCCGTCGGTCCTGCGCCTTAACTCTCACCGGTCGTGTCGAGTGGTCGTCCCACCGGAGTATGAGAGTGATAGGAATAGAGAGTGCACTTGTGTCTGCGCGTACACTTGAGCACTATAATATCTCCTGCGCAGTTGGCTAATCTCATTGAGATTGGCCGCCGTGGCCGGAATCGGCTAGGAGAACATCATCATCATCATCATATAGTCTATATATATCTATATATAGACCCGCCTTTAGGCGGGTTGCTGAACTAAAGAGACAAGCGTGATATTTCAAAAAGTCATTAAAAGTTCTGGTATTTATCGATAGATGGAAAGACTAAAAAGTATCACCGCTGTGCCGGTCGGAGTGGGGGGTGTCAGGTGTTTTCGTTACGGAATTTCTGGATTCGGTCCCCACGCTCAAGGCCCGCGATAGAAGCTATGCAATAGCTTAACAAACGACGCTCTCGTTATTTCGATATACCAATTTCACTGAAAACTGTTAAAGTTTTCGCGGTCGGCTCTATCTCGCACAAGTAAGTGGGACGCACCCCCGACGATGCAGAGGCTCTCGGCGAGCAGCTCGAAGACGTGCGCGAGCGGCAGGAAGCCCATGAGGCGGTCGCCGCGGCGGATGGGCATGGCGTCGGCGAAGGCGCGCAGCGTGGCCAGCATGTTGCGGTGCGACAGCACCACGCCCTTGGGCACGCCCGTCGACCCCGACGTGTACATCACGATGGCCGTGTCGTCCGGCTGGGGCGGCACCGCCTCTGTTGGGGTTCAATATTATTATCTATACATATAATGAAATTATTGAGTCGAATCTGTATATTGAATATTTTTTGAACATCTCATTCAAATAGCCATTATTATCGATACGGAGGTCGAATTTATAGTTTTTAGAACTTTTGGCTGTCTGTCTGTGTGGGGACACATCGAGAGAAAACCACTGGACAGATTTTGATGAAATGATGTTTGTGATGATACTGGATCAACATATAAGATACTTTTTACTGCGACAAAACATCTCATCTCTGAGTAATCTATAATAACCGTTAAAATATAACTAAAGACGAAATCGAGCGGAACGGGTGTGACTCAGTTACAAAAAAATGGTTTATTCTAAAAGAAAAACAAATACAAGATAAGATATATGCAAAGGCGGCTTTATAGTATTCTTATACATTATTTAATAAAAATGTGACGGAATGAAGAGATGAATATTGAGGATTTCAGAAGCATGTAACTTGACAACTATTAAATTAATTGTTTTAAAGATTATCCAAAAATACCCCACACATATATATGGACTTACCGTTCAATTACATGTATGGAGTGACACATCTATTTCTTGTACATATTTTTCATAATTTGACTACAGAATTGTCTACAGTTTACATGAAACATTAGTATGTATGTATCAAATTTTAGCGATACTGTTCCAATAGTCTGACGATGAGTAAAACATTTGTACCATACAGTGACGAATTTTTACTACGAAACTCTAAAATTAACCGTAAAAGTAAACAAAAAAACTATCTCACCAATATTCGACTGTTTTCCCAATTGCAGAACTTCTTTATATGCAACAATTTTGATGCCGTCCTTGTAGCCATCCTTCGAGGTGGTTTTCAACGGATCCTCCATGTATATGATGGTGTCAACGTTGGGTGTTTTAGCAAGTATTTTCTTGAATTTGGGCAAGAGTTCGTGCGTGGTGATGACTGTAGACACATCTGTCTCGTTGATGCCGTGAGCGATCGCTTCGTCGCCGAGTGTAGCGTAGATTGTGACCACTGAAAAAGGATAAATAACATATTAATCTTACTAAATAGCCTTTTTATGTTTTATCTTTCGAGTTATACGAAAGTATAAAATTATGTACAAGAGGATAACATAAGAATGAATATGTTTACTGTTGCCATTTAGGCTACAATTATATTCAGACGGAAAAGTTTACTTATATACGTGATAGCAACTGACTTTTACTGCAAGAAAACAGAATTATGTACATTAATTTAACGTACAGTAACCAGTACGGTACGGTACAGTACAGTAAACCACGTTTACATGTATCGTGGTGCTGCCATTATGCTAAATCATGCTTCTTCTCGTTTATCCATCTTTCATTTATTCTATTCTTATTATATGTCTCTTTTTACTCTAAAAATATCATTTCACGCATACTTATAACCGCAAATCTCATACTATAAGTCAAGATTTTCCAACCGCTCCCCTAGGGGGCGTAGAGAATTTATTTTGTACAACTTAAAACAAAAACAAATAAAAATCGTTAAAAAAAATTGTGTTCTATTATAATTAAAAAAATAAAGGGGTGGCATGAAAATATTTTTTATAATCCGGGGAGGCTCAACAGAAGAAAGGTTGAGAACGAGAAACCGTGTCGTAAGCGGTAGACCGTAGAACTGACCGGGTATGCTCTGCGTGAAGCAGCCGTGCGCCGCCAGCATCCACTCGGCGCGCGTCTCCGCGAACATGACGACGTTGCGGCGCGGCGCGCAGCCCAGCGCGCGCAGCCCCGCGCCGAACGCGCGCGCCTCCGACACCACCTCGTCGTACGACCGCCACACGTAGTCGCCCATTTTGTACTGCACACATTAAATATACACTAGTGTTTTATTTTGCGACTAGCAGTACCCGCTGCTTCATCAGTTTTAAAGTAATGTGTGGAAGTTTGCCCGATTTGTTAACATTTATGATTACTGCTTCGCATCCCTGGGTAGTAGCATGATGATATATAGCCTATAGCCTTCCTCAATAAACGGGCTATCTAATGTAAAAATATAATTTTTCAAATCGGATTAGTAGTTCCTGAGATTAGCACGCTCAGACAAACAAACAAACAAACTCTGTCTCTTCATAATATTATAGTATAGATGTACGATTTTGTTTATATTGGAAGATACACGTTATTGCACATGTGATTAATGTTGTGCAATTTTCTTTTATAATATTTCCAATATAATCAATAGTGACGGCGCCACATGTAAACTCCCATTATATACTGCACGATGTACTCAAGTGTTTTATGTTGAGCGATTTAAGGATGGTTTTTATGATATGAAATTAAATTATCCTCTTGCAATATTCGTATTTTCAATTAAATTTAAATATAGCCATTGACCGACCAGGTCAGTAAGGAAAGTACCACAGGCTAGGAAAGCAGTCCTGTAGTGTAGTGTAAAATTATAACGCGGCAAGGTTTGTTTATTTGTTTGAACGCACTAATCTCAGGAACTTCTGGTCCGATTTGAAAAAATCCTTTTGCATTAGATAGCTCGTTAGTTGAGGAAGGCTATAGGCACTTACTACCCAAACGGAGCAGTAATCATCTCTGACAATTTGTGGAATTTTACTATCATAATATTACATGTATGTGTGTACGAGTGCACTCGGAAACTAATACGAAAAAAGTGGCATAACTGACCTTCTTAAACACACGTCCATTAGGCTGTGGCTCGTCCTCCTCACTGAGCACGGTCCTGGTGCCGAGGCAGGGGCGCGCCTGCCAGCGGGCGGCGGCGGCGCGCAGCATGCTCTCCATCGTGGTGACACCATCGCGCACCAGGCGCAGGTGCAGCTCGCACGGGGTGGATATCGACCTCACTGTTATACTATTTGATGTTGATTCTATGATGCGAGCCTGCAATAAGAATAACAAAAGTTAAAATCTTTTTTATCTGATGGATACGAGCCTCATCGCAATGAGAGAGAGAGACCAGGCAATACTACACAAGTGCGTTCAGATGTCTTTCGAAAACTTGCTAGATTCTCTCAAACATGGAGAATTCCTCACAAAGTTTTCCTTAACCGTAAGGTAAGAGTAATCAAGTTGAATATGATTTGCACAGGAGAACATCACATGTGCGAGACCCGGAATTTGAACCGTGCGTAACCGAATAAATTATGTCTTCAAATTTTAATGAATCATACAAAGTAACTTTCATACGTAGATATCTAGTTATTATAAGTTATAACAAACAAATATCAAGCCATAAACGACAAAGTATTTTAACCTTTTTTAGTTATTTATCATCGCAAGAAACATGTGAACAAAAACCGCAATTATGACTTTTTAAAGTAATTTTCCTTAAGCAGTAAATCTGGTTATTTAAAAATAACGTTTATAGATGAGAGTATTATATATTTTTAAATTATAAAAACAGAAACCTTGGAAGATGTATAATTTGTTGCTAAAATAAAATTAGTAGTAAAAGATTCCTCGAAAACATAACATTAATCAATTATGTGTTTAAAAATTATACTCCTTGTTTAGCAAATATTTTTTAAATATTTATTCTATATTATGTTTGTTACAATGTGTTGAAATTTGACTCAAGTTAACCAACAGTACTGTGTTCATTGATGTTTGTTTACATTTGAGGGCGTTACTCTTGATAAGTGGCCATTTAAGCTGCTTTCACTTACTTTTTACATCTTAATTTCTAAAAGTACCTAAAACTCGTTACGAATATTTATGCTAAAAAGGAAATCACGTATTAAGTCTTGTCCGATTTTATTTATAACCGTTTAATCTTTTAAAAGACTAGCGACTCACCCTCGCTTCGCTCGGGTACCTACGGCCCTAGGTTGCTTCTCCTTACAAACTTTCATCCCTACTTTCACCCCCTTAAGGGATGATTTCCGGGATAAAAATATATCTATCTATCCTATGTCCTTCCTAGGGTCTCAAACTATCTTACCAAACTTTATCTAAATAGGTTCAGTAGTTTCGGAGCTTATTCGTTAGGTACAAATAAACAAAAAATCTTTCCTGTTTATTATATTAGTATAGATATAGATTACGTTTTTTCCAACATTAGCATACTTTAATGTTAAATTATTTAATAATTTTAACAGTATAATAGACAAAAAAAAATAAAACCGTTTTGTTTAATAAGTTAATACTTTGTTAAATTTTAATTGTTTCTCATATTAAAAAGATTACTATCTTTATTAAGATATTACTTTACATTACAATTTTCATTTACAAAATAGTTATGATTTAAAAAAAACCGACTAATTTACCGATCCACATCATTCATTTTATATAACCGTCTTAACTCCGACAACCGATCAACTGAATAATACCAAGTTATTGCCACTCAAATAATCTTTACTTAAAAACTTGAATTTTAGAACTAGCGGCTCACCCTCGCTTCGCTCGGGTTCGTCTCTAGAAAAACAAAAACAAATTTATCCCACGGGAAACGTTCATTTTTCGGAGATAAATAGTATGTGCTATTCCAGACATATATGCTATCTATCTCATCTCTGTGCTTTTCATCCAGATCCGTTCAACTTTCTGGCGTGATTAAGTAACAAACATCCAAACATACATCTAAACTTTCATGTTTATAATACTAGTAAGATTATTATCTCAGTAAAACACAAACAACACAAGCTCGTTAAATACCCATAAAACGTTAGAAAACCATAAATATATAGAAACAGTCACATCATTATAAAATATAAGCCAGTTCTTTACACGCAATCCAATTACACCTGTAATGGCATAACACGACCTCACCTTGATCTGTCTCGACAGCGCGCGCTTCCTCCAAGGTCGCTGGATGAGCAGGTGCACGGGGAAGGTGATAACATCGAACACTAGGGCCACCGCGCGGATGGTACGCAGCACCGCCGACACCCACCACGAGTCCGGCCTAGAAGTGACGAAGATATTTATTAATCAATGGGGGCGAACATTTTTTTAAAGACACAAATGGGCGCTCCAGATTCGTTTTTTTTTTACTTTTAATGATATCTATATACCCTATGATACTCGCATTATGATCAATCTAACGATTTATGAATCATCAAAATTGAGTAAGCAGTTTAGTAATTACGAGGGAGCATAGGTTCGGACATAGGTACATACAATTCAAATACATAACCCTCCTTTGGGCCTCGCCGCAGTCGGGTAAAACACGGTAAAAATGATAATAATAATATCAACACAAGTTCTCACTCTTCTATGAGTTCTAGCACACGCCTGTGAGAGATCAGGCGCGGGACCTGACACTCGTGCTCTCCGAGGCACGGGGATGAAAAACCGTTAATTTTCAAACTCCTAGCTGTTACTGAGAATTTTTTGACAAAATACCCAACAACTCTACAAAGCTCGACAAGGAACTTGAACTAAAGACTTCGGATTCATTTCATTTACGGAATTATTTCGTCCACCCTTAGAGGTTAAAGATTTTTTACTTTTTTTATTTTGTGGTAGGTACCTACCCTATACCGCCTTTTTTTAAAAAAAGATGATTTCTTAAGCAGTACATGTTTTTTTATAATCTATCCAAATTAACGATAAGAAAATATACTTAAAAAAAACCCCGAGAATGATTTAGCTGTTGCAAAAAAGATCGACCAAGCTACATGACAGACGTAGCAAAAGATAATATACTATTTATGCTACAACAATTCCCCAACGGGAATTGAAGCAGTGACTTATCAGGAATTATGAAGAATTATAACGGTAAACTAGACAGTTCTGAATGTTTTTGTACCAACGTGGTCCGATGTACCACACTGGTGCAGTGATCAGAGGGTTCTAAAACACTTGGCTCAATAGTCACATTAGTAGAAAGAGAGAGTAATATCCTACAATATTTTGAAATCAAAACAGAAGCTTTTAAAAAAAGCTTAAAAACATGAAAAAAAAATTAATTTTTAAATAAATCTTCATGAAATTAAGACAATGGAACAAAACAATATTGCACTTTGTAGCGATAAAGCTATTGTTGTTCCTGTAGCGGCCTTGGACGTGAAGTGCTACGATAATAACTACCTTCAAAAGTATTTCATATATATTGTAAATAATAAGAAATATGTGTATAAAATACTAGCGACTCACCCTCGGTCCGCTCGGGTTCGTTCCTGGGTACGCGGATTACAGTTATACTAGATACGTTTTAGCGGTTAGCAGGCAGGTATAGATTTCTCAGATATGAGTTAGTTTCCCGCAGTAAAAAGTTCCAGACAGACAGACAAAAAAACTATAGATTCGGCCTCTGTATGGAAAATAATGACTATTTCGACAAGCTTTTACAAAAAATATTTGATGTACAGATTCAACTCAGTTAGAATTTTATTATATGAATATGTACAGATGCGTTCAGTGTATGCGACTGACATTGTGTACTTAAGCTACACTTTTAGATACACTTAGAGGCACTTCTATAGGCAATACTTTGCTGATACAAATGTGTGGGATTATTAATAATTGATACTCACGCAGGATAAGAACATGTTTATTGTATTGATATATTGTAAATTATAATTATACTAAAAAAGAGCAACTGTTGAGTTTCTCGCCGGCTCTTTTCAGCAGAACTGCCTTCCGAGCCGGTTGTAGATTCCTCACGGACTGACTACACTGACATTTAATTTTAAATTGACGATTCAAAAGTGCTTGTAAAAGTCCATTTGAATAAAGTATATTTTGATTTTGATTATTTGAATAAGAATATTTGCCATGATTTATTTAACCCATTAAAATGCATGCTGCTGAATGACACTATCCGACATATTGTGATATTTTTCTTTTGGAAATGGAACAAATTATAATCATGTCAAATTTGTTGATCGAGTACAGATTAGAAGTCGAATAGATAACGGGGGCTTCGTCTTTAAGTCGTATGAAGTAAAAAAAATACCGTCTGAAACAAAGTTCGGGGTATTTGTATTCAGCCCTTTTAAACGCGCCATTGATGGGCACGGGTGTCCCTTCAAAACGAAGGGGATCAGGATATAGTCCACCACGCTGGCCAACCAGGTTGGCGGACTTCATATGTCTTTTGAAAACTTGCTAGGCTTTCTCAAACATGCAGGTTTCCTCACGCTGTTTTCCTTCATCGTAAGTCAAGTGGTATCATGTTGGAAATGATTAGCACAGGAGAATATCAGAGGTGCGTGTCCCGGGATTCGAAACAGCTACACGCAGTTTCTCAAGCGAGCGCGTTACCACTGGGCTTCGGGGCATTTAGGGTGCGTTTAGTCATTAGACTTACAAACAAGACATCCTCTATTTGAAGGTTGATATTGAAATTCAACATCCGGCGAATGAGGAAGTATAGATATTTAAGTAACGAAATTTAAAACTGGCGAATTGTTATGCAAAGGATATCTAAATGTCAAAAGTCATAACATGAAGAGTTTAGATTCCATGTTATTACATGAGTTTTAGGTGCCAGTTATGCACAATTTACTTGCCAGTGTCACGTTGAATAGAAAAGAGAAACATCCATAAGAACAGTGACATATTATCCTGCATCGCTTGGTAGGTCAGAGGTGAATCAATGCTACATAAAACAAACCATACATACATATACGTATATATTAAATAGGACTTTTTATGTTACTAGGATTTCTCAGAGATGAGATACTTTCCCGCAGTAAAAAGTATCCCGCAGTATAAACTATCATCATACCAAATTTCATCAAAATCTGCCCAGCGCTTTTCTCGTGATGCGTTCCCAGACAGACAAACAGACAGATAGACAAAAATTCTAAAAGCTATAGATTCGGCCACTGTATCCATAATAATGACTATTTCAATAAGATTTTCCAAAAATTATTTAATGTACAGTTTCGTCTCAGTTAGTATTTTAATATACATATGTACATAGATTTAGCTGTCATGACTTATCAATCAAATTCATATACAAAATGTTCCATTGACGCGCGTGTGGTTTAAGAAATCGTAACAGTTATCGATGCTAGATTATCTGCCCTATTAGGCCGACCTAGTTACACCATCGTCTTATTCAAAACCTGCTCGTATCAATTACACTGTATTTATTGGTCAAATAAAAATTGATAATACATTAAAAATATTTGTATGTAGATATATATTTAAACTGTCTCGGTGGTCTAGTGGCTAGCATGTACGGCTCCAGATCCGGTGATCCTGGGTTCGAGTCCAGAGTCGGGCCAAGTTTAATTACTGAGTTTTCTGTTAAGATATTCTCAGTAACAGCCCGGAGTTGGAAGTTGGCGGTGTCTCTCCCCCGTGCCTCGGCACGCCAGCACGGCCAGAGCACGTAAAGCCGTCGGTCCTGCGCCTTAACTCTCACCGGTGGTGTCGAAGTATCGTCCCATCGGACTTTGAGAGTAAAATTAATAGAGAGCGCACGTTGTGTCTGCGGGTACACTTGTGTACTATAATATCTCCTGCGCAGTTGGCTAGTCTCAAAGAGATTGGCCGTCGTGACCGGAATCGGTTATGACATTTAGATTTAAAATTCGTAATATCTTCGTATGTCTACGTATACATCATAATTCTTGCACGCGGATAAAAAAAATATATTATATATATATATAGAAATATCAATGCTAAGAAATATAAATGCGGAAGTAATTTTTTATACTTGTGCGATTAGCTTTCACGGCTCATTGGTTAAAATTGTTTTAATTATAATATGCAGCGGATAACGAGACACTGAGTAAAGGTAAATAATCACTGAAGCGGAATAAAAAAGGTTCTACGGAAACGGCTAATATCACACGTGTTTTCGTGTAATATAATTTTATAAAAATAAATACGTATTATAGTCACGTAGTCGTTGGAGAGATTATACTCCATAAAGTTAAACTGTTTTTAACAAGAAGAATTAAATAAAGATTAAAAATACATTAAAAAATAACTTTACACGTCACAATATAAAAAATGGATAAATCATCTCAATTTTCAGTTATATTCATCATGAATAACAAAAAAATAAAAACCGACTTCAAACAAAAGAACTAAAAAGTAAAAAATAACTGATTGGGAGTTTTCATTTACTATACATACCTAATCAAATATTTTCGAAGTCGGTGTGCTTTGCTTTGTATGGGCTGGCACGATTTCGAAAATATTTGATTAGGTATGTATAGTAAATGAAAACTCCCAATCAGTTATTTTTTACTTTTTAGTTCTTTTGTTTGAAGTCGGTTTTTATTTTTTTGTTAAAAAGTTTTTATTTTTCCCTTTTTAGTGTAGACAGTAGTAGCAAAGTAAGGATTCTAACGTGTTAGGCTTGTCAAATCAAACAAAATAAGCCCAAACTCAAAGTATCTACTATTAGCCGTTGAAGAGTTCCACCTATCCACCTTCTGACCTTGCCATCAGATCAGGTCAACAACACCGAACTACTGTACTATCAACGGAAATAGAAATACTTGCAAAGTTTCAAGTCAATATGACAATTAGAAGTAGGTTAAATTCATCATTAGTTGTTTTTCCACCCTTAGGGGTGGTATTTTTTTGAAATTTAAATGGGACCAATCTGGAAGTATACCCTTTCAAACAAAACAAAAATTGTCCAAATCGGTTAATAAATGACGGAGTTCTGAGGTAACAAACATAAAAAAAAAACATACAGTCGAATTGAGAACCTCCTCCTTTTTGAAGTCGGTTGAAAATGTTTTTTTTTATACCGTTTTCAAAGGTAAATTGAGTTTAAACTGCACAGTTTGAAGGCAAATGTTAGTCTAAGCGGGCTCGTTATCTTTTCAATTCAGCAATTGCGCTGGTAATCGTACATAACTACAGTATAATGCTGGTATTTAAAAAAAAATAGTGAGGTTAAACATGGACACTATCATTAAGTATAAGTACCTACAATCAACAGCTGACGAGAATCTAAATAATTATAAAAAAACCTTTTTATCTAAAAAA